TTTCTCTTAGGTTGAAAAACATATTCACGATGCCGTTTCCCAAGGAGCGTCCATAGTTACAGGAGGAAAAAGGCACAGTTACGGGAAGAATTTCTTTGAACCTACTCTTCTCAGCAATGTCACAACACGCATGTTGTGCACACAAGAGGAGACTTTTGGTCCTTTGGCCCCAGTTATGAAGTAAGAGTTTATTCTGCAGATCACACATTAACAAACTTCGATTATTACATCAAAAATGGCAATTTCTGCCAGGGATACTCTTCTGCATAATGACTCCTGTTAACCTCACCATATTACACACTGGGAGGCAAGGTGGATTGTGATAAGCATGTTTCATATTTCTATCGCAGAAGTAGTTCACAACAGGAAACAGCTGACATTTCTCCTACTTATTACATGCGACCCTCCCAGACAATTCCTGGATTAAGGATCACACTCCCAAGTATAATGTTTGAATTGGCAAGGAGCTGTCCCTACACAAATATACTCTGCGATAGCCACAATTTGCAGCTGTGTTTTTTGGAACCATCGCAGTCATGGAAGTTTACTCATATAGTGATGGCTTCACTGCTAATTCACGTTTCTCAAAGTCAGCGACAGTCAGGAGGGATTATGTGGAGCGAAAGTATCTGGCTGGCAGTGGGGAACTTTCCCTTATTTTAAATTGCCATGTATAAAGACAACAGCACCCCTTTCCCAACTTCGGGTAGAAAATTTCCACAGACTGTGTCAGTCATTTTGTGTTTCTTTATATATTTATGTATATAAAATATAAGCAGGTACCACATTAGATTTCTTTTGAAAACTTTAGTAGTATGCATCCCAGGCATAATCTTGTTACAATTATTTATGTGGATAGCCTGAGAAAGGTAGGTATTTCAAAACCATGTTAAAATACAATAAAATGCTCCTGCCTTTAATTTCTGATCTGTTAGCACTTTTCACAGTCTTTTCATGATCATTTTTCATGTGTCCTGAAGTTGCACAAGTGTGTAAGAATGAAGGCATTTGCCTCTTTCACAGTGATGCCCACATTCTAGCTTCTCTGGTGCCTCAATTTTATTTTTATTTCTTATATAGCTTGGGTAAGGGACGCGGGTGGCGCTGTGGGTAAAACCTCAGCGCCTAGGACTTGCCGATCGCATGGTCAGCGGTTCGAATCCCCGCGGCGGGGTGCGCTCCCGTCGTTCGGTCCAGCGCCTGCCAACCTAGCAGTTCGAAAGCACCCCCGGGTGCAAGTAGATAAATAGGGACCGCTACTGCGGGAAGGGTAAACGGCGTTTCCGTGTGCTGCGCTGGCTCGCCAGATGCAGCTTTGTCACGCTGGCCACGTGACCCGGAAAGTGTCTCCGGACAGCGCTGGCTCCCGGCCTATAGAGTGAGATGAGCGCACAACCCTAGAGTCTGGCAAGACTGGCCCGTACCGGCAGGGGTACCTTTACCTTTACCTATAGCTTGGGTAGGTAGTGCTTGAATAGACTTTTCCCAAGGGATTTCCTGAGGGAAACTGTTCTGGGTGTGCTAAAATGTTGCAAATGTTGACTTACTGGGAAGTCTTGTCTCATAGTGTGGGAATATTGTTTGCATTATGTGTGGTGAGGCACACCACCAACCCTCTTCTAATATGTTTCAAACACTATGGCGTAACCTGGATGTCAAATATATTTACATTAGGTCTCACATTTGCTTAGATATATTCCAGCAAATGCTCACTGAAGAAATTACATGGCGGTTTTGGTAGCCATTCCCAACCTTTTTCTCTTAGGGCAAAATTTAATGTCACCAATAGACTTCACTTCCCCAGATTCTGTACTGCATGGGGGTGCTGCAGCAGAGAGGTGTAAAAGTCTCTATTGTGCAAGCAAATAGCCATTGCTGGATGTCACCTTTAGAAAATTCTTCCCCATTTCCCCACCCTGTTTTATTTTAACCTGATGAAACTGCATAGGATTTACTAATCTTCCCATGTTGTTGTTTAGTCGTTTAGTCGTGTCCGACTCTTTGTGACCCCACAGACCAGAGCACGCCAGGCACTCCTGTCTTCCACTGCCTCCCGCAGTTTGCTCAAACGCATGCTGGTAGCTTCGAGAACACTATCCAACCATCTCATCCTCTGTCGTCCCCTTCTCCTTGTGCCCTCCATCTTTCCCAACATCAGGGTCTTCTCTAGGGAGTCTTCTCTTCTCATGAGGTGGCCAAAGTATTGGAGCCTCAGCTTCACAATCTGTCCTTCCAGTGAGCACTCAGGGCTGATTTCCTTAAGAATGGATAGGTTTGATCTTCTTGCAGTCCATGGGACTCTCAAGAGTCTCCTCCAGCACCATAATTCAAAAGCATCAATTCTAGGGCGATCAGCCTTCTTGATGGTCCAGCTCTCACTTCCATACATCACTATACGGACTTTTGTTGGCAAGGTGATGTCTCTGCTTTTTAGGATGCTGCTAGGTGTAACTTTTATACTAGCTTAATTCATGGGAAGTTATGGAAATCTGTGTCAGTCGAGTGGGGATGCCATCACGAATTTTCCATGGAAGAGGCCGCTAATTGCACACCACTTGCAATAAAGCAGTTCTTCCATTATTATTTACATCTATTAATACTTTTGCAGGTTTGATACAGAGGAAGAAGCTCTTGCCATAGCAAATTCAGCCAATGTGGGCTTAGCAGGTATGTGAGTTCTTAATACTGCAAATCTACAATCCTTAAGGAGGCAAGATGGGGTATGGTTCAAACTACCAGGCCACATCTTGACTCTACTATTTCAAGCTTAGAAAAATGACCTTTCTCCCCGCAAAACAACAAACAAAAAACTCCAAACTGTTTTCTATTCAATGCTACAATTTGCAGGTTATTTCTACTCCCAAGACCCGGCCCAGATCTGGAGAGTTGCAGAGAAGCTTGAGGTTGGGATGGTGGGCGTTAATGAAGGCATCGTGTCTGCTGTGGAGTGCCCTTTCGGTGGCGTAAAACAATCTGGGCTGGGAAGAGAAGGTTCAAAATACGGTATTGATGAATATTTGGAAATAAAGTATGTCTGTTTTGGAGGTTTATAGTAGCCATTTGTTAGGAGTCTAACCTATTCAGAATGCCTAGAAAACAACCTTTTGGGGCATTCATAAGCTTTAGCAGGATCATTTGTGATTTTTCATTCCCTCTTAAAATGGAAGTAATAATGTTTTTGTAGAAACGTCATTACTTGTAAACATGATGATACATATAGAACAACTCTGGTATTCTGTGTACACAGGTTGTAGGAATATAGGTTTATTTATATTACCTGTCTTAACCATAATGCAGAGACAAATAATGTTTCAATTCCCGATTGTGTTTCAGAGGAATTTGGAAAACTTTACTAATTAAGATGTATGATTTACCTTGAGTGTCTGTTAGGGGGGAAAGGCAGGATAGAAATAAATGATTTTTGGAGAGTAGCAAAGTAGGAAAAAGATACTCATTTACCCTTTCTCATGCGCTGAGCCAGGTGTGAAATAACTGAATAATTGTGCCAAATGTTGACTGTTTCTTTTTCTAATGTTTTTATTATTTTCTGGTTGCCTGTCTTAGGGCTTCTAGGAAATCTTTTCTAGGGAAAGATGTATTGCACTTTTTCATATCGTTCTTCAGCTCTTGGCTGGAGCTGAAAAATGGCCTTGAAGGTATATGCACAGTTCTGACAGAATCCTCCCTATTACTTACAATAGGACTAGAGCATCTCTAAGGAGATACTTGTGATTTGCTCCTAGCAGCTGAGCCTTGTGACCAAATTATCATGCATTAGTACAACAGCACAGAGATACGAACATAAACTGTTTCGTATGGGTGGGGTAACATTGTGTCTTGCAAAAGCTGTAATGCACTGAGACCAACTTGGACCAATAGCTCCACAAGGAAGTAATCTTTATTTGAAGCGCCACAGCACAAAAGCTCACACCTCCATAGCCCATTACACTGCTCTAGAGCTCTGTTTCCTATGTCTATTCTTGCCAAGTAATATTTCTCCTCTGAAAGACTTGTCTGATCCTCCATGGTCCTCTTGCTCATTCTAGAGATTACAGAAAGCAGTTAATTTGGTACAAGAGAAAAAGCTTAAGACCTGGGAAAAGGGGGGGGGCTATGTGGGAGGACTTTAAAGCTTCCTCAGTGAACCTATTTGAGTAACAGTGGCATACAGCTAGAATCCCAAAAGTTGTTTATTTTACCACCACAAGTTAAGACTTTTGATGGCACAAGATAAAAGCATTTTTGTGCTCTTCCCAGTGAGCTTTAATGTTACCTGCACGTGCTCCATCAGGCCTTTTCTGTATGAGCTACTGTTACGTTCGAAAGATAAAAGATTTAACAGTTCTGCTTTGCTACTGCTGCATTCAATTGAACATGCACTTTATTTACATTGCAAAACTTCATTTGACATTTTGCAGTATGTTTTCAAGTGGACTTAGCTGTGCAATCCCCTTCCCTGTCAAATCTGCTTGCGATCCAAAGGGCTGCTTCAGATGAACCAAAAGGGCTTGGAACAAACATTTGAGGTCTTCCTTAAGTGGGAAGCTTCTGCCACTTCACAGACAGTTCTAAGAGACACCACTTGGCTCGAGAAGTAGTTCGCAGTGTAGCCATGAGCACCTAGCATTCAGGAGAAACATAAATCCAGATCTCATTCAGACACACACAACTAGTCGCTTGTTTCTCCCTATTTTCATATATGTTCATTAACTTCTAGAATTGACACAGGTCAGCTAAGCTTATTTTGGGTGACTCTGTACTACAAAACATTGGTCCTGCTGTATTATATTAGAGATAGGTTAAATAGTGGCACTATAGCGACTCCTGAAAAGCACATTATGTAGCACTAATTGCTATCCCTAAAAAAAAACAAAAATAAAAAATTACAACCAAGATGAAGCTTGGTCTGTAATGCCAGCAAACTGAGTAGTTCCTGAAGAAATCACTGTCAAATGGGACTGAGGAAGAATAATTAATCTATATAATCTTACATTTTTAAAAAAAACCAGCAACAATAATTTTTACATTTGTGGGCATACAGGCTAGTACCACAGACTGATCTACAGTCTTACAGACAAGTCTAGAAATGCTTCCTGTTATATTATTTAAGGCAGTTGCTCTACATGTAACTCAAAATCTGAAACACACACACAGAAATACAAAACTAAGACAATCTAGTGATTCAATATAGCCCAAGCTTGTCAACGCTCCTCCTTTGAGGAAAAAGAAGCAAAACATTTGAGAAGCACAAATTGTTCAAGTGTAACAAGATACTACTAGCCTCATTGGAGAAATTTTCTCTTGGGGCTGGATCAGCTAAGTTTTAATATGCATTTGTATGGTACGTTTACATCAAAAATAACAAAAGTTATTATTTGTTTGTATACAGTAATTCATTAACAGAAGGTGATACTTGAATTCTTACATTTCACTTTTGTGTGTAGATTTGCTTTGGGTATTGGGAAAAGAGCTGTGTGTAATAAATGTTTAACTTTAAAATTGGTGGACATTCACATCTACTGTCAGATCTGTGACATTTTGTAAGCGTATTAAAAAAATAAAAGAATCCTACATTGGTATGAGTTTTCTTCAACACAGGGCTGGAGAAGTTGTGACCCTCCAGATATTGTTAAGCTCCAGCTCCCAGTGAACACAGGCAAGTGTCCGGTATGATGTGAGTTTGTAGTACCTTCACCTGGAGGACCAGGCAGGTGTACTAGTTTTGCCTTGGAGACAAAATGGGAAAGCCACTTATTTCATTGGACCAACTTCTGCTGGTGAAAGGATATGCAAGCCCTCAAGTTGCACAAACAACTTCTAGAAGACACAAAACCAAGGTTCCTAAAGCTGAACTATATATTGAGAAAAATTGGTTACGCAGGTGTAATATATGTTTGCTTTGTGTGACTTCATGTAAAAAACAGTTGAATCACTAATTGTTCAATACCTGAGGCACATGACACTTTACTCTCCAGGGGTAAAAATCATCGCAGTGCCTTAAAACTTCTGTTTAGCCCATTCTTCTTTGTTTACAGCAACATTTGGGTTAAGCCCCTAGCATGAAATTTAAACCTTTTTTTTAGAAATTTGTGCTTATCTTCGCGTTTATCATGAAGGGAGAGTGCTGATGCACACACAGAAACCCGATGACAATTGGTTCTTGTTCAGTAAACATGTTTTATGAGCATTGTTAGATATTAAGACTAGGTGATTTCTGGCCCACACTTTCACTACACAGAATGCCACAGTCAATGGAGTTGAGCGCATCTGATTTACTCTCAGCACTTCACAAGGCAAATGAAGGGAAGGAGTTAAAACTTCCAGTACCGGTTATTAAATCAATGTACCCCACAAAAGCTGCAGTTTTCAAAGAACGTGGAATGATTTTGCAAGCCTTTCTTCAGCAAAATAGACAGAAGAGGGTCAAATTGGTGGCATATGGTATGTGCCACCAATTTCTCCCAAGTATAGAACCTTCTCCCAAGTGTGGCATCCACTTACAAGAAGGAGGTAGCAACAGGCTTGAAATTTTACTCAGATCTTTCCTTTCTTCCAGCAACTTGGGCTTGCCAGACTCCTAGGAAGTCTGCCATCCAAATACGAATGTCCTTTACTGCAGTTAGGTTGCTTCAGACAATGCCTTGAGTCCTTTGAAAAAATGATTTCAACTCCATTGCCTTACCAAAGCAGATATCACAAAACCCCTTTTCATCAACCCTCTTATTTGTTAAACTAAAAGTGACTGGAAGGAGGTGGACGCTATAGCCGCACACTGCTTTTCTTTTTAATAACTCAAGGTACATTTGCATACTGCTGTGTCTTTGTACAGATGCATAGCCACTGTTTTCTAAAGGAAACTTGGACCAATATAAGGTAGCTTTCATATGTGCTCCTTGTAATGTAACAGTCTTGAGCAATAACCTTTTACATGGAAACCATCTCCAACCATTTTTAGACTTGAAAACCCTTTCACCTAACTCATGTGGTCAGTTAAAATACGTTATTGGTTAAAGAAATGAAGGGGAAAGTCCACCGCGTCCATTTCCTTTTCTACTATGCTGGAAGTTTATCATCCCGTCTCCCACCAGTATAGTTTGGGAGGGGGTGGTGAAGGAGGAGCAGCATAGCCTTAGCACGTGTCCTTCCACTGCAGCCTCTTCATTTATCTGTTCTTTGAGCTGTAGCTGAAGGAGACACCATTCTTCATGGAACCATTCATGGCATTCCTTGGGTTCTCTCTTTCAACCTTCTCTCTGCTGAATATGGTGTCCTGGTCACTGTCAAACTCTGACTCTGAAACCATCAGGCTGGAATTGTGTTCTGTGCTTCTGTGCTTTATACCTGAGATAGGGAGGAGACGGGAAGCAGAAGATTCTTTGCAACGTCTGCTTACTATTTGATCTCTGTTATCTCATCCGCAACATCCAATTGAGGAAGTAATGTTACATCTTACTACCATAAACCATCACCCAGAGCCACACCACCACAAGCAATCCAACATTAACATTGAGCGCTAACTCTAAAGAAGAAGAGTTTGGATTTGATATCCCGCTTTATCACTACCCGAAGGAGTCTCAAAGCGGCTAACATTCTCCTTTCCCTTCCTACCCCACAACAAACACTCTGTGAGGTGAGTGAGAGAAGTGTGACTGGCCCAAGGTCACCCAGCAGCTGCATGTGGAGGAGCGGAGACGCAAACCCGGTTCACCAGATTACGAGTCTACCGCTCTTAACCACTACACCACACTGGCTCTCCTTTCCATGCAATGTTCCAGGTGACATGTAAATAAGCCTATTGACATCTCTGCTAGAGTCTGCTGCTCCTTCTGTTATGATCCAATAGAGGAGTGGCAGTGCTACTCAACTAAATAATTGGATGAGCACAAGGGACTTCCTCCCACACGTGCCCTGTACCGTTCCCAAATCTACTCCAGAGGGTTGAGGAAACTCTCATAGCAGTTTAAGAGAGGGGAGTGTTCTGTTGCACAGATAAATCCTTGCACTGATTGAATCAGTGACTTAGTACTACCACACACATGCCCTGTGAGCCCATCATCAAGGAACACAACTGCCTGTCTTTGGGACGCAAGCAGTAGCTGCCATTCACCTCTGATGAGCATGTTGACGGTAATATTTATTGGCCTGAACCACAACCAGTTCAGGTTAACTTCAGTTGCAGCAGAATCCAAACAAAAGGAAACAGCATGCTTTTGTTGCAGAAAGTTGTGTCAGAAATAATTGAAAATAAATACATGGTGATTTTTTTGGTTCCTTGGCAGGGAAATGAAAGTGCTATTGCAACTTGGGAGATTTAACATGGCCGGGACTTTTATTGGAGACAGCCCGCTCCATCAGATGTTATCCTGCCTTAAAATGTGAAAGCGCCAGATGCATGTGAAAGAAAAGTCTGTATTAATAGCACAAGAAACAGAAAGTCACATACGAATTGTAGCAAAGGTTGGAAGACATGGGGGGGGAGGGGGAAAGAAACATACCGTATTTAGGCCTGAGCTCCATTCTCTCCTGATCATCTATATTATCCAAAATTGTGTATTTTGTTTTCTTTCTTATTTTAGTCCTCTTTCTGCTAAAAGATGAAATATTCCACTTAAAGCTGGGAAACCAAGTACCCATTCCCCCCCCCAGGTGATATTTTCTTAGGAACCACCCCAACCACAAAGGATATACATTATGTAAACCAAGGATGAAATACTAGGCCTCATGATTCTTCCTAGGCCATACCCACTCCCCAGCCATACCCCACTCCAGGACACACCCCTCGCCATTTTATTTTATTTTTTGGTACCCTGCTTGAGTGTTTATGCCTGACTAGAATATTTCCTTAAACTCTGATCCTGCTTCTTGTTCACCTGGATGGAGAATAGAGAGGGATGAGTGAGTGTGTGGGAATAGAAAACATGGACTTTCGTTGCTCAACCCATTTCTGCCTCTTGCCTACCCGCCTCTGCCATGTTCCCACCTTCCCTCAGAAGGTTGACTGGAAGGGAACGTGACTCTTAGTCTGAAAGGGTTCCCCACCCCGATGCGTGCCTCCTCATTTCAGCATCATTAGTGCTGTCATACTTGGGGCCCCTTCAACAGTGTAGCCACCCACAGACATGACCCCTTGGTGGAGCTCCACATGGAGAAGCTAGCTTACAAGCAACCAAAACCAAAGGCGTTATACAGGCATGGTTGAAAAACTGTTTTCAACCTGTACAGGTGGTTATTCACACAGATAGTTTATTACATGGGAGCTGCGTCTACACCATTGTGCTATGGGCAGCCACATATCTCTTATGGTTGCCTCACCTTAGATGAATTGGACACCCCTTAATTCCCATTAGCCACTTGCCAAACTCCCAGGGTGGTTAAAGGGCAAATATTCTCCCAAACCTATCAGTAGATGCTTCTGAGTACAAACGAAGCTTCTACGCTATTTCGGTGACTATAGAACTAAGGGATGTTCGTATCGAGCTTCATTAGAAATCATTTACCTTTTGCAACAGCAGATGCAGAGCCAAACGAACCCCGCCATCAGCACAATCAAAATGAAAGCTGATGCCGTTACATAAAGTATACTCCACTCTAGAAGGTGGAAGTAGAATGTTCAAAGTTATTAGAGGAACCATTAATGCACTTATGCATTCAATATGGCAACATCACAGATCTACTCTATTCAGCCGTCCCTGCCTGAAACACTTCACCCGTTTCCTCTCAACTCACCGCAATTACTCTCTCCGCTGTTAAGATACCTCTGTATCAAATTTTCCATCCACAGCTGATAGCAAATGCAGCGCTTCGTGATAGGGTCGCAATGTCCATGTCCGGAGCACTTTAAGAGGCAACCTATAGCAGCAAAAAACCATCAAAATTATTATTATTATTATTATTATTATTATTATTATTATTATTATTGCATTGGGCTTTGGTATTGTTCTGCAGCATAACGCGAGTACTACATACCAGCCGTGTCAACGCGAAGCACTTTAAAGAGCAAGAAGTCTGGCTTCTCCTTCAAGAGCTGCAAGCGTAGCATCTGTGCAACATCTGCTGCCTTCATCACTTTAAAAGGATGGCCATTCTGAACATAGAACACAACAGCTGTGCTGAAGAGAGGATGTATATTATTGTAAATAACCAGACTATAGCATTCAAATGGGCTGGCTTTTCAATTTAAGAAATATTGTCACAGTCAGACTGTTTGATTTGGCCTTTGCACAACCCCTATTGCGGGATTCGGCTCACTCGTGCAATGGCAGTCACAAGGACAAATGGTGCTGCCAAGCCCTGCCCAGTTCGACCCAGGGGCTTCCCCATTTTTACAGCCCTCTATGTGCTCAAGGGCAAACTTCTGAAGCAAAGAGTCTCCTGCACACGCACACGCACACACACACACACACACACAGGCTCCCCATGCAACTCAGACCCTGATTGTGCAACAGGAAGAGATGGTCAGTGATTTTAATTTTATTTCTCAATTGGAAAAGCAGGCATTGGCTGTTTGAAATTACATGTGATTGAACAGGCCGTAACACAGCATGCATCTTCTACAAAGTGGGCAATCTCCTCAAGTTTTAGCCACAGAACAATAGTGTTTACATATCCCAAAGCATTCACGCATGTTAATTTTTTTTAAAAAAATAATAACATAAAAGCATCCCTGCTGGATGAGGCCAAAGACCATCTAGTCCAGCATTCTGTTCTCACAGTGACCTATCAACTTATTATCTTGACTTGGTAAACTTTAAGGGCACATATGGTTTGATCAGTGTTAGATTAAGGTCACTAGACGTGAGGGATGTCAGAGAATTGAAATGAAAAGAAAAACAAGAGTGGGAATTGCCAATGTTTGCTTACTCCCATTTCTGGAATAGAAATCAATACAGGAAATACAGTCAGTATTCACTGTTGTTGCTTTCAGTGTGCAAACAATACATAATTGAGACATCCCTCCACCCTTTGAATTGTGTTTCCTGTGCACGGAAATGAATGGGGTGGAATAATTTTATTTCGTAAAATTTATACACCACTTGACTGTGGGCAGGGAGCCCTCAAAGCAGTTTACGAAAAGATAAAACAATAAAATCGAGAACAACTCGCAACCATACTTAAAAGCAAACAGAAGCTAAAATACTGAAACAGATTAAAATTACCTCGACTTTCTGGATATCTGAGGAGCCGTGTCTAAACAAGAATGTTTTTAGCAAGCGCCAAAAACAGTGCAGTGAAGGTGCCTGCTTGGTCTCAGTAGGCAGGGAGAGCCAAAGTGCAGGCGCTGCCACACTAAAACAATCAAGTTCTTGGCAACTTGCTTGTTGCAAGTATTATGTACATCTGCAGTAGTGCATATCCCACCGATCGAGTGGTCAAGTGGGCACATGTGGGGAAAGGCAGTCTTGTGGGCAAACTGGTCCTAAGTTGTTAAGGGCTTTATATGCTAATAGTGGCACCTTGAACTTGGCCCATTAACAAACCAGCAGCCAGTGCCACAAAGACTAGGGCCCCTGCAGGACTTTACATCTTTCCACAGGGCCTGCAAGGACAGAGCTGTTCCACCAAGCCTTTGGCCAGGGCACAGCCTGACTCCCTCCTTTGGCAATCTTCACAGAACTCCTAGCCCAATGGTTGCCATCAATTTGATTTGAATTAATTTTATAATTAAAAGATTTTAGAATGTTGTATTATTTTATTGTTGTTAGCCGCCCTGAGCCCGGCTTCAGCTGGGGAGGGCGGGATATAAATAAAAAATTATTATTATTATTGTTGTTGTTATTATTATTATTATTATTATTATTATTATTATTATTATCTCTGAGCACTCCTGTTGGCAATCGTTCTGCAGCATTCCTAGTGAAGTTATTTTCATAACGTAACAACAATTTAACTGATGTAATTACAGTGAGTTGGATAGCATTGTTTTTGGCAGAAGATGAACTGCAGTGGAACGGACAGTGCTGCATGTGAAAAATACACAACGGAATGGAAAATTATACCTTCTCGCATCCCTGCTCATGTCAGCAAGTCAGCCCAAATTTTTTATACCTGCTCTACATATTGCTTGCCATTGAAACAAAGCTTATTGGTCTGTAGTATTTTGGGTTATACTGTATCTATTTTTGGTATCTCTGTACCTGATATCAGAATAAGCGTGTATCTTCTGAACTTTAATATCAGAATCCAAGACGTTCAGGAGCATTGCTAGCTGCCGCACAAGCGTGTCTTTCTGTTGTTCAGTCAGCTGGCCAACTCCAACTTGCAAGATCAGTTCCACAAGTCCATTTTTCTTAGGATCTGTGAATGCAAAAATAATGCTTTTCATTTGGAGCATGGCAAATGTTGCCTTGACATGTGCATGTGAGGTTTCAAAATTAATATTTACTACAAATTCCAGTCGGCAATAACAAACAGGGAACATGTAGGTTCCAAGCAGATATTTATCATAGGCTGAAAACAAAGTTATATTCTCAAATGCATCACATGAATTTCAGAGGGAACTATGTTATTCCCCACCTCCCTCCAATTTGTCATCCATGCCATCAGAAAATGCAGGTGGATTAATTTATAAAAGTTAGCAAAATTTAGCAGCTAAGCAGAAGAGCAGAAAGGAAATGGAGTATAAAAAACCCAGAAAACAAGGGACCAGCAAGATACTAAAATGAAAGGCATCATGGCTATCCAAATCAGTATTTGCAGGTATGTGAGAACACAGCATGAAAAGTAATCCATGTTATTGCTTATGGAATCTGAGGCCACTTTTTCATAGGTTTGCTGAGCAGGCAAAACAAGGAGGGTCTCCATGAGGCCAGGCTTACATTGACATTGTACTTCTCTTTTCTACTTGCACACTATTAGCATGTCAGGATGCAACTTCATTAAAAGCAGCTAACCAACAAATAGAAGCTTTCATCTAGCCACAACATAGTGTAGAATTTGGCTCAAAACGATGGTCACCTCATCAGGGTCCTTTATTGCATTGCCATACAGGCCATGTATGCTCTCATGAAGAAAACATGGTGGTAAGGATCAGAGAGCCACGAAGGAAGTGTGCTGGCTACGGCAATGAGAGGAGGAAACAAAGTTTTGGCTGCAGAGTGGGACAGGTTTGAAGGCCTTGATTTGATCTATAAGCTGCCTATAGAGCTACCTCTTGCAAAATGGGTTTCAAGCAGTATCGTCACTCCACCCATGACTGGAGAATCCAGGAAATGAATCAAGACTTCTGAAAGGACTGTACTTCATATCTGCTTTAGGCCCCTGCCTTGAACTGCAATGGAATCAAACCACAACAACTTTTTAGCATCAATGGGAAATCTGCCACTGAGCTACCGAGCCAAGGTTTCGCATGTGAATGGGTCACCTGGCCTAACAAGATCTTTGCGGTGCGCTGCTTATAGGAGAAGAGGACAGATCTGGGAGGGACAACATGCTATAAACGTCCTCATACCAGGCCGCACTTCTACAGTAGCCATGTCGATGTCTGACTCCCCTTTGCCATCGGTGACTTTCAAGTGAAAAGAGTAACTCCCTTCTACGAGGTTGGTCAGCTGCAGGATGGCCTCATGATCTGAGCCGTGTATCACATCCTGCAAAAGGAGAAGTCAACACTGCTTCAGATTAATATTCACTCAAAGGCAAGATAAAATTTGCCCGAGATTTTACAACTACCCACCACAAATTGGCCTAGAACAGCCATGTTAATAAAGTACAGTGGTACCTCGGGTTACAGATGCTTCAGGTTACAGACACTTCAGGTTACAGACTCCGTTAACCCAGAAATAGTACCTCAGGTTAGGAACTTTGCTTCAGGAAGAGAACAGAAATTGTGTGGCGGCAGCAGGAGGCCCCATTAGCTAAAGTGGTACCTCAGGTTAAGAACAGTTTCAGGTTAAGAATGGACCTCCAGAACAAATTAAGTTCTTAACCCGAGGTACCAACTGTAAGGTCAGGGGTTGGGAGCCTGTGGCTTTTCACGTGTTGTTAGACTGCAGCTCCTACCATCTATGAGCATTGACTGCAATGGCTGGGGATGATGGGCGATGGAGTCTGCCAACATCTCTCCCACCCTTCCTACAGCCAAAGAGTGCATCTTCAAACCCATGGGTTTGGTTTCTTCTACTCCTATTTTAAGACTGCAAAGCTGAGACTCAGATCAACTTGCCCAAGGCTGCTCCATGCAAGTCCAATTTGGATCCAGTGGACCATACTGTTACATGGCAGCAATGCAAGCAAAGTGTACGGTGTTTGGATTTGGATTTTTAAAAAAAAATACATTCAATTTGGCTTCATTAAATTATTAAAACACTTACCCCAGCTGCTGGGCTCTGGCCATCCCGAATCCAGAGATAAGACACAATCCCTTGGTCATCAGTAGATTGCGAACCATCCAAAGCAATGGAGTTATTGGGCAGAACGAGGATGTGCTTGCCCCCTGCATGAGCCTGGGGTGGGCGGTTGCTTTCTAAACAATAAAATTATAAGAGAGGAAGAGCTTTGTTTTGAAGAGTTGAGCAGGAAATAAAAGAATAGGAATGGAAATAATAGTAATAGTAGTAGTAGTAGTAGTAGTAGTAGTAGTTGTAATAATAATAATAATAATAATAATAATAATAATAATAATAATATATTTATACCCCGCCCATCCAACTGGGTTTCCTCAGACACTCTGGGCAGCTCCCAACAGATTAAAAACAGGGGGAGGGGGGATCAAACATTAAAAACTTCCCTAAGCAGGGCTGCCTTCAGATGTCTTCTAAGTCAGATACAGTGGTACCTCAGGTTACAGACGCTACAGACGCTTCAGGTTACAGACTCCGCTAATCCAGAAATAGTACCTCAGGTTAAGAACTTTGCTTCAGGATGAGAACAGAAATCATGCTCCGGCGGCGCAGCAGCAGCCCCCATTAGCTAAAGTGGTACCTCAGGTTAAGAACGGACCTCTAGAACAAATTAAGTTCCTAACCCGAGGTACCACTATAGTTGTTTATTTCCTTGACATCTGATGGGAGGGCCACCACCGAGAAGGCCCTCTGCCTGGTATAGTATCCTAAATGCCTTGCTCAGATGAAGAAGGCTCTCAGAACTTGGCAGGGCTCCACACTGAAATATTTTTCATAGGACTATATTGTGATATTCACGGAACTGCTCTATGTTGTTTTCAAATGCTCTGTTTCTTGTTGTGAGCTCAACTTCCTTGTTGGGAGAGGAGCCTATAAACCTCCAATCAAATGTGAATGGGGCAGTAAGCCTTACCCTCCTTGACAGTCACAGAGATTGTGGCTGTGCTGCTTAGTCCTTGGCTGTCTTTGACGGTCAGTCTGAAATGGTAGGTTCCAACGTGCAGGCCTGTGACAGTTGCGACTGCGCTATCAGTGTCTTCCATTTGCACAGAGGTTGGCCCACTGCAACGGAGCAAAAAGAAAAAGGAAGAGGAAGGCATAACCTAGGAACCAGAGTCAACTCAGTTTAAACAAAAAGTGCTATTTTAGTAAACGGAGCAAGTTCTGGGGGTGGTGGCATGAACATTTTTGAAGCTTCAAGAGAATACTTCTTCATGCTGAATAAGAGTGCCAATAGCAACTTTCCACACTAGCTATTGAAACTGGTGAGAAATGCAAATCATTTGGCTTCTTCAGGTTAGCTCGTCAAACGGGTTCAAACAGTGTCAACATTCCATCTGTAGCAGGTAGAATTTGGCATTTTACTTCTTTAAACTGATATTCACTTGAGGGCCTGAAATTCACTTGCAAACCTCCCTGCAAACTTACATAATGGATGGCGGTTTTAAAAAGGCCAAGGCTTGCAGGTTTTTCAGATTCAGCCAGAAACTTTACCTAAGAGGCCTCAAAACTCAGTTCAGAAATCTGAGTGGCTTTGAGATATCTGTGATATGTACAGGGATGCCTTGGAGATCAAATGGTAATCCCTGAGAAAAGTACATTCATTTTCAACTGAATTATGAAAGTTCTCATTAATCTACAGTACCGCATTCTTCCTCTGGCTACGTGAATGCAGCAAAAATAGTGGACAATTATTAGCATTTTACAAAATAAACAAAACAGTATTTGGCATGAACAATAAAAAAGGTAAAGGTACCCCTGCCCGTACGGGCCAGTCTTGACAGACTCTAGGGTTGTGCGCCCATCTCACTCAAGAGGCCGGGGGCCAGCGCTGTCCGGAGACACTTCCGGGTCCACCGTGGCCAGCATGACATCGCTGTTCTGGCGAGCCAGAGCCGCACACGGAAACGCTGTTTTACCTCCCCGCTAGTAAGCGGTCCCTATTATCTACTTGCCCACCCGGGGGTGCTTTGGAACTGCTAGGTTGGCAAGGCGCTGGACCGGAAGCAACGGCGAGCGCACCCCGCCGCGGGGATTCGAACCACCGACCTTTCGATCGGCAAGCCCTAGGCGCTGAGGGCTTTTTACCCACAGCGCCATCCCGCTTCCCTGGCATGAACAATATTGATGTATATAAACTTTGGGACTTTGTTGGTTCATGCAGAACTAGCAGTAAGCCTAAAGGGCTCCAATCCACCCCAGGAGCTTTTCAAGGTTCCTTCTGTGTACGTGGTAGGAGACACTAGTTTGGCCCCACCAGATACGTTCCTCCACTCTTACAAAGTACCTGATATTCTCCCAGTGATAGTAAACAATGCCTAAGTCATCAGTGCTCATGCTTCCATCAAGAACGGTGCTCTGGACAGGGAATGTCAACTCCTTATCTGGCCCAGCCACGGCTGTTGGGGGGCTATTCTTTTCTGCAGCGAAACAAAGCAAAAATTGCTCAAAATACAGTCTGTGTTTTCTAGTCTATAACTGACAAGGGTTATCCTCTCCTCCAAGGGCTATTGTATTAACGGTACCAGGAGTGACTTGGAATATCACTTAATCCACCTCTCGTCCTGTGTCCTGGATGAGAAAGCAATGCAAAGATGTCTAAGTATCTGGCGTGCCCTATCCTAGTAAACAGAGGAGTAAACACACACGGAGCACTGCAACATGGCTCCCTCTCTCTCTAGCATCAGACAGCAAAGAGAAAGAACAAAGGACGATAGTCCCACTTCACGGAACACAGTAACACAAGCATCCTGTCTCCGTCACTTCCCACTCTGTGGAGTCAAAACCTATACTGTCATGTGACAGACAAAAATCCCATGACTGCAATCATGGAGCAGGAATTCTAACATCCTCACAGTAATCTGCTGTGAACAGTACTAGAGGGTTCAAGTTCTATTTCACACCAAGGACAGAAATTGGCCTGGTGGCCATGTGTTCCAGGAGGGACAAGCAACCTTCTCCTGGTGGCCCAGAAAAAGCAGTCGCAAGGCTCAATCCTTTCATCTGCCATGCCACTACTTGGAAGCAACCTTTGATGGCAAAGCTGCAGTCTTATGGGTTTTCCATGGGTTACTCAACGAGATATGAATCAGCAACAGCGATACTCGGGCAACGTATTGCAGATGTTGAATGCCAGTATGAACTAGGTTTAACCTAAAAAAAATATCATGCTAACTGACAAAGCACTTCAGTCCTATGGAGTGGGTGGGGCATTTGTGCGTTCAGCTCCTATTATTGCCTGGCCTCTGTGCTCAGCACATTCCTAAATAACGGAGGCTGCCTGGCAGGCAAGCAGTCTTTCCTCCTCCTCCTTCCACTTACTATGAAAGGTCAGATTTAGATTTGTTAGCTCATGTACATAGAGGTTCAACAGCCAGCCAGCTGAAGGATGTTCTGTTAAGTCAAATATACTGTAAATCTGCCTACCGGGCCGGACAATCACCGTGACTTCAGCTGTAGACTGCTGTTCAGCAGAATCAGTAACAGTCAGCTGAAACGTGTATTCGCCTTCTTGCATTGACGATAACTGGAGGTAGGGACTCCTCACCCCCTGGGTAATGAGGTGTGGGAGGAAAACCGGGAAATAATGAGGCAAATGTTAATAGTACAAAGCTTTCTATTATCGTAACAAATCATTATACCAGTGGTTTTCAACCAGTGTGCCGTGGCACCCTGGGGTGCCTTGAATGATGGTCAGGGGTGCCGCAAGAACACTAGCCTCTGTCCCTCTTTCCAAGGAGAGGGGAGAGGAGAGGAGGCTGAGGGAAAACTCAAGGGAGGGTTCAAAAAGGGGTGAGGGGCTGCCAGCTCTGCAGGCAAGGGGTGACATAACTGGGCTCCTGAGCCCCACAGGGGTGACACAGAAAGAATGTAGTTGGTCAAGTGGACCCAAAAAGGGTGAAAACCTCTGCATTATACAGAAATATTTTACAAATATTTCACAACCACCTGAATAGGCTTACAATATTCTGCAGAACTTCGAACGCACCAGTTCAACATCTGTGACATTAAGTGTGGTCACCATGTCCAAAACTCACTATTGCTCCTTTGCAATGGTTTGCCTAAACACAGATGGTTGGATCCAGACTTGGTCGCAGTAGACCCACTGAAATGACTAATTTTTAAAGTCCCATGCAATATTTTACAGGGTCCACTCTAAGTATAGCGTCCAAGTGTCTTCCTAGCCAGGGCAAAAATAGAAGAGACTAAGTGTTTCAAGGTAATGTTCACCATTTCCTGCACAATACAAAGTGCAACCAGGCTTTTTTTGCCTGTTTTCACTAAGCACCACAAAACTCCTGATCTGAAAGCTACTGGATTCGGGGGGCGGGGGGGGGTGGATATTATTAAATGAGGCAAGACGATCTCCATTTACCTGCATTGCTACCACTTTGCCTCGACTTTTTGGGCTCAGGGACCACTCATAGCTGACTATCTCATAATCATCACTGCTCTGATTTCCATTCACTGTGACGGAGTTGCGAGGCAAACTGATTTCCTGATTTGGCCCTGCATTGGCAACAGGAGGGAAGTCCACTTTTTTATGGACCCTCAGTGAGGCTTCTGTAGAGTTAGCTGCTCCACTGGAGTCAATCACTGTTAACCTAAAAAGGAAGAGAAAAGATATGTGAATAATTAATTATATTGAATGTGTGCTTTCTCCCATTCTCAAAATTCAGATGCACTGATTCCTTCTACCTGAGGAGTGCAGAATCCAGAGACCATGGACGTAATTCGGTCCATCTAGGGTGGCCATAAGTCTGGAATTTCCCGGACATAGCTGGAATACATCAGTCAAAACCAGTGTCCGGGAGGAAATTGGTGAAATTGAGGAGATTTCACCCCTCCCATATCCAAGAATTTGCTGATGTTCTCTGCTGATTCTCCAGAGACTGAAACATCCGGGAAAATACAGACGTATGACAACCCATGTAGGAAGTCTAGATTTTGGTGAATTTCCTCAAAAATAGCTCAAGAACTTCTTCGTTTGGGGGGGGGGGGGAGCTCAACAACTTTGCCAAAAAAAGCCTAACAAGAATTGTGTTCAGATTTTCACTTTTTGAAATATGGCAACCCTAGGTCCATTAGGCCTTCAAGATCGGCCTGCCAGGCTGGAGGCAAACCACACCCACCTTTTCCATGTCTGAGGTAATATACAATGTCAGGCATAGGAAAGGTCCATTGGGTCAGGCCAATAGCCCATCTAGTACAGCATCCTGTTCTCACAATGGCTGAACAGTTGCCTGTAGGAAACCAACAAGCAGGATTCGAGCACAACAAGAACAAGACTCTCCCTTCCTGTGGTTTCCAGCAACTGGTATTCAGAACCAGTTATCATGGCTAGTAGCCATCAATAGCCCTCTCCTCCATGAATTTATCCAATCCTCTTACTGCCTGCTGTGGAAGCAGGTTCCATAGTTTAAACACGGACTGTGCGATGAAGTACTTTCCTTCCATCTGCCCTGAAATCTTCCAATATTCAGCTTTGTTGGGCGTCCACAAGTTTTAGGGTCATGAGAGGAGAAGTAACTTCTCTCTTTCCACTTTCTCCGTGTCATGTATAACCTTACTGACTTCTATCTTGTTACCTTTTATGTTTTCTCTAAACTAAAAAGTCTCAAATGCTGCAACCTTTCCTCATGGGGGGAGGTCACACCACCCCCTTGATCATTATGGCTCAGGACTGCAATACCTTAAGGACCGCCTCTCCCCATAGGAACCTACCCAGACCCTGTGATCATCCTCTGAGGCCCTTCCTCATGTGCCTCCTCCATGAGAGGTCCGGAGGGTGGAAACCCGAGAACAGGCCTTTTCTGCGGTGGCTCCCCATTTGTGGAATGCTCTCCCCAGGGAGACTTGCCTGGCACCTTCATTACATATATCTATGGGCCAGACCAAAACTTTTCTCTGTAACCACGCCTTTGGCTGATTAACATTCTATGGCCTTTTAAATGTATTTGTGGGAGGGGGATTATTGGTTTGTTCTTTACTATTACGCATTTTGTGTTCTCGTTTTCTATTTTTATGTTGTGAACCACCCTGTGATCTTTGGGTGAAGGGCATTATACTAACTAACTTAAACAAATAACTTTGGTTGCCTTTTCCTCTGACTTGTCCATCCCCAAGTTGTGGTCTGAGGAGCCAAACGCAAAAATGTAGGCCTCTCACCTGAAAGTGTAATTGCCAGGCACGAGCTCAGACAGATGTAAAACTGGTGTATCAGCTGATGCCTTCGTTTCTCTAGGGGGACCTTCAATTTCTTCCCAGTGGTAACTGGCTATTTCAGTATCATCAGTACTTTCTGTGTTGGAAGGGAAATGCCGCGGAATCATAAATTAATAAGCTGGTATCCCTGTGAGCAATTCTAATGACACTGCAAAGCCACAGTTGCTGCCTGGTACTTACGATTCCCATCAATGGAAGCAGAAGTTGTAGGGAAAGAAATTTCCTGGGCTTTTGGAGATACGATAGCAACAGGCGGCTGATTTATTGTGACAGCTGCGGGAAGGGGAGAAACAGAACCCCGTGCTTAATTAAATAAGGCCATCCTGCACGACTCGATCAGCCTGAGATAGCTTTGTGCTTATTCCACAGCCAAAAAGCATTCACTAGTTGCTGAACAAGATTAAACAGTTAATATAAAAGCAGTAGGTTTTTTAAAAAAAGATTTTAAGTGATAACCAATAGAAAAACCGATCCTTGTAAATTATGATTTAGAAAAGCCACCTTCTGGTACAATCCCAAACTGGATAAATTGTGCCTGGCTTGCGGTTACAGGGGACAACAACAACAAAAAACCCCAAATCCCAGGCTTCTTAAGTTCTTAAGCTGGAAAAGACCAGAGTTCAATTCCCCCAATTCAGCCAAGAAGATGACTGGGTGGGCCTTGGGCCAGTCACAGTCCCCTAGCCTAACTCTACCTCGCAAGGTTGTTGTGACTAAAGATCAAATGAGGACAAGGATAACCAGGTATGCCACCACAAACTCCTTGGAGGAAATGTCAGATAAACATGGAATAAGAAATATTTCAATATCCCATTCTGTTGGATAAGTGAAGTACACCACAACAGAGGCTTACATACATCTGCACCTCATCACATTTTATACTAAATAGGTCCAAAATGAAGGGGGGGGGGGAGATGGGTGCAGAAACCAAAAGGCCCATGCAAGCGGGCAAGTCATACCCAGCACTCAATACAAAACTATTTACATGGGCAACTTGAGTCCCTTTTCCACCTTCTTGCCCCAAAATGCTGTACTGTAGATCCTGAACATGCGGCAGGAAGAGGGAAGGAGAGACACTAACATGGAATGTGCGAATCAAGTGCTCATCTAGGGTAACTGCCCCACAAATAAAATCAGAAGAGCAGGAAATTACAAGGCTGGATGCACTTGAATATTTACTACCCTGTGGCTCCCTCTAAAGGCAAAGCAGGAATGTTACACAAATGCGATATAAAAATGTAAAACTTTTACAGCTGTTCACTCTCTGATGAAATTCAGAACTGATTAAAAGTACCATTCATCAAACTGGCATGCACGTATGGCGAGAGGAGGATATTAGTTTTAACTGTCTGAAAAACTGATTTACCTGGTTGGACAGTGACATTGACAAATCCTTCTCCAAATGCATTTTCAGCAGAAACAGTCACTTTGAAGACATAGGCACCTACTGGCAGCTGTAACAGAGGATTTTTAAATGTATCTCCGGTAACACATAGGACTTCACATGGCACAATATAACAAAAAATGCAAGAGGTTTGAGTGTTCATCAAACCCAGAGCTTAATTATCATCACGAAGAAGAATCTCTGCTACCACCCAGAATAACTTAGGGGTGGTCGGGAGCAACTCAGAACATTGCAGCTGTGCCTTCCAGAAGGCTGAAATAAAGGGAAATGCAATATATATACAGGTAGCACTGGGTATGAACTGAGTAGAAACAAGAAAATCTTGCAGAGACTGGAAGCGCACCCAGTAAGATACTCTACCATATTCCTGAACTGCCTACGTATAAGAGTTGATCAGGCGACAGGGTTTAGTGAGCAGGAAGAGGCTGGGGCAGAGAGCAATCTAGAATCAGAAGCAGGAGAGGAGGCAGGCCGGGAGACAGAGACGAGGCAGGCTGCTGAAGAAGCCAGGGAATCTCCCCCTTCTGCTGTGACCAGCTCCTCTCCCAGAACACGCAGAGAAATGAAGAGGGCAGAGAAAAGAGAGACAAGGGGAAGGAACCAGGGAAGGAGCCTTAGCAGTGTGAAGACAGGGACCTTCGGTCCTTGCAACTGCCACATTGGTGCAAGACCTACTGGGAAGAGTTGACGGGATCACTAGGCCTGCACTGTTTTGGTTTCTTTGAATAAAGAGTTAACTTCACAGTCACCAGGTGTTTTATTACAGACCGGCTCCTGACTCTGGCTCCTGACACCAGGGCTAGAACAGCACCAAGTTCTTTAGGTGCCAACAGGTATATTTTCAGGAATCTCACTTGGCGCCAGCCACCAGGAGCACCACCCTAATCTGGAGAGAAATAGGCCCATTGACAACGGCAACTTGTAACTGACGTGACAGCCTTACAGCAAAGCATCTCTAAAGCCATTACCCACAGTAGCTGAGTGTGCGGTAAACACGAGTCAAGTCTCCCTAAGGAGCAGCTCACTTACTTGAGAAAGTTTCAGTGTTGGCGTGTGCTTGCCCTCCATTTCACCATTGTAACCATCGGGGTGACTCATCGAGCTCCACTCATAACTATAGGCCGATTCTGAAAAGGAGGAAGCAGCACACCAACTGGTTATGGTTCTTCTTTGGAAGAGAGACCTGATCCTAGCTCTGATGTTTGCCGAGTTTTCATGGGGTGGAGAAACGTAAGCCCCCACTGCCTTCCACCGCTTAAGGTATAAGCGGAACATTTTACAGTGGTTGTCTGCTCACATGATTTATTTTCCCTTCTACTAGGAAGGGTAGAAATTGCATGAGCAAGTCCTCCGCACAAATGAACGTCAGCATGGGGTGCAGGGAAATGAAGAAAACAAATGGCAATCCTACATCATGTGAAGATTGCATTAGTATCTGAACTGGGGCCCAGTTATGGGAGAATTGTGGTGCATGCATGATCACTGTCTACTGTCCCTATTTCCTAAAAATTGAACTAGCCAAATTGATTAACAAGCGAAGTTTTTATACATAATCAGTATGAATGGCCACACCTCGTAAGCCATCTAATATGTGTGAATTACTCGTAGAATTTCTGACTTTTATACTGTGCAATAATCTAACTGTTCCCATCAGTTTAAAATGACTTTGTCTCTGAAAAATCTTCTATCCTTACTTCCCTCATTTGTTCTCCCTGAGCTTACATGAAGCTATTAAACCTTATTCACCTTTTTCGCATTTAAAAGTTGGTGCCAAACACAAAGTTGATACTCAGCATTAGCTGTGCCAGCCAACAATGTTCATGCAGATTTCCTTATTTTGCACACATTTACTGACTTTGCATATTTAATATCTGAATAATTTAGAATCTTACGAGAGAATAATTGGCCCAGCTTAAACAAAGCAAGCGAACCATGCTCGAATTCACACGCATGTACCAGCCCTTCATTTGCAAGAGGAAGAAATAAGGGGTTTCACTTTGCAAGAAACTATAGTTTTCCATTTCAAATGAATGTGGAAGGAAACTGGTTTGGGCAAACCATAGTTAATTCAGATTTTTGTCGATAGTCTCTACATGGTTTCTAGCATAAGACAAGCAACTTAGTGCTTTTCTCCTCCATCCCACTTGCATCAAGAACTCACCTGAAAGGAATGGCGTGACTACAAACGCATGCAATTCAACATCGTTTTCTGGTAAAGTTACTTGTAGATTATCTCCAGCCGACACCAGGAGTTCCTTTACTGCGTATAAATTTTTTGAAAAGTTATTTTAAAACAATGTATTGAGGAAAGCATGGCAAGAATTTTCTATTGCTGAAACAGCTGGGATAGCTCAGTCGGTAAAGCATACAACTGTAACTCTACAGTTCTATGATTCTAAGTATATTAATAATAATGGTTTGGGACAGTTGTTTTCTCAACAAGACTTGATGTATATACCCTCTGAAGCTGAAACTTAATAATAATAATAATAATAATGATGATGATGCATTTTATTTGAAGCGTTAAGCAGATAGTTTATTCAGCATGAGGATTTCTCCCTGCTTTAAAAGATTCTTCTCTTCCTCACCACATGCAAGCAGCTAAGCAGCTTTTTACAAGCCTGATTCAAGCAGCAGTTTGAGAAGTTAGCACTTCTGATTTCAGTGCCGTCCTAGATACATCCACTCAGAAGTACAGTGGTGCCTCGCAAGACGAAATTAATTCGTTCCGCAAGTTTTTTCTTCTTGCGAGTTTTTCGTCTTGCGAAGCACGGTTTCCCATAGGAATGCATTGAAAATCAATTAATGCGTTCCTAGGGAAACCGCCTTCAGACCAGGTCCGGGGACAGTCTGTCCCCTGACCTCTTCTGAAGGCTGGGGGGGGGAACAAGGGCTTCTGAAGGCTGGGGGGGGCTGGGGGGGAACAAGGGCTTCGCTGCCGACCCCCAGCATTTTAAAATCTCACCGGGACACGGGGAGATTTTAAAATGCTGGGGGTCAGCAGCGAACGCTTCGCTGATCCCGGGACAGCAGGCAGATCTGCACCGCCATCCAGAGCGGGGCGGGACTTAGCCCCGCTCAGGATGGCAGTCCCGGGACGGCAGACAGCTCTGCGCCGGCATCCAGAGCGGGGCGGGACTTAGCGCCCCGCTCGGGATGGCGGCACACATCTGCCTGCAGTCCCGGGATGGCAGACAGCTCTGCGCCGGCATCCAGAGCGGGGCGGGACTTAGCGCCCCACTCGGGATGGCGGCACAGATCTGCCTGCAGTCCCGGGATGGCAGACAGCTCTGCGCCGGCATCCAGAGCGAGGCGGGACTTAGCGCCCCGCTCGGGATGGCGGCACAGATCTGCCTGCAGTCCCGGGACGGCAGACAGCTCTGCGCTGGCATCCAGAGCGGGGCGGGACTTAGCGCCCCGCTCGGGATGGCGGCACAGATCTGCCTGCAGTCCCGGGACGGCAGACAGCTCTGCGCTGGCATCCAGAGCGGGGCGGGACTTAGCGCCCCGCTCGGGATGGCGGCACAGATCTGCCTGCAGTCCCGGGACTGCAGGCAGCTTTGCGCGGCCATCTGTAGCGGGGCGGGCTTCGCCCCCGGCTCCCGATGGCCGCGCAGAGCTGCGCTGATCCCGGGATGGCAGACAGCTCTGCGCCGCCATCCCGAGCGGGGCGGGACTTAGCGCCCCGCTCGGGATGGTGGCGCAGATCTGCCTGCAGTCCCGGGACTGCAGGCAGCTTTGCGCGGCCATCTGGAGCGGGGCGGGACTTAGCGCCCCGCTCGGGATGGTGGCGCAGATCTGCCTGCAGTCCCGGGACTGCAGGCAGCTTTGCGCGGCCATCTGGAGCGGGGCGGGACTTAGCACCCCGCTCTGGATGGTGGCGCAGATCTGCCTGCAGTCCCGGGACGGCAGACAGCTCTGCGCTGGCATCCAGAGCGGGGCGGGACTTAGCGCCCCGCTCGGGATGGTGGCGCAGATCTGCCTGCAGTCCCGGGACGGCAGACAGCTCTGCGCTGGCATCCAGAGCGGGGCGGGACTTAGCGCCCCGCTCGGGATGGTGGCGCAGATCTGCCTGCAGTCCCGGGACTGCAGGCAGCTTTGCGCGGCCATCTGTAGCGGGGCGGGCTTCGCCCCCGGCTCCCGATGGCCGCGCAGAGCTGCGCTGATCCCGGCACGGCAGACAGCTCTGCGCCGCCATCCCGAGCGGGGCGGGACTTCTCTGCTGTCCCGGGGATATTTTAAAATGCTGGGGGTCGGCAGCGAACGCTTCGCTCCCGCCCGCCAGCATTTTAAGATCGCCCGGGGCAGCGGAGAAGTCTCCGCTGTCCCGGGAAGGCAGGCGGGGGGGAGCAAAGACTTTTGCCCCCCCGCCGGCCTTCAGAAGAGGTCCAGGACCTCTTCTGAAGGCCGGCTGTGGGCGAAAGTCTTTGCTCCCGACCGCCAGCAATTTAAAACAGGTCCCCGGAGATTTCCCTATGGGCTTTCGTCTTGCGAAGCAAGCCCATAGGGAAATTCGTCTTGCGAAGCGCCTCCGAAACAGAAAACCCTTTCGTCTTGCGGGTTTTCCGTCTTGCGAGGCATTCGTCTTGCGGGGTACCACTGTACCATATTTTTCCGTGTATAAGACTATGTTTTTTTCTTGAAAAATTAAGCTTAAAAAGTGGGGTCGTCTTATACACAGATAGTGGTGAGGTTGGACGGGCAATTGGTGGCTGCTATGAGCCGGAGACTGTCAGTGGTGTTTCGGCAGGTGATTGATTGTTGCGTCAAGTTCCGCAGGATATTGGCTGCTGCGGCAACTGAGTGGACGATTGGCGTTTGCTGTTGGTGAGCGATCAGCCGATTGGTCGCTTCGTTGATGTGCGTGTGATCGGCTGTGTTGGTCCCGTGGGTAAGCAATTTTTGGCACCCCTCCAAAAAAGAAAGCTCAACAAGTTTGGGCAATTTTCCCGCATTTTCTCAATTTGGAGTCCCAAAGAAGAGGGGGCTTCTTATACATTGGAGCGTGTTACAACACGGAAAAGTACAGTAACTCCTATTGAATTCAGTGGGGTCTACTCCCAGATAAGCGCAGTTAGGATTGCAGCCTTATTCTCAAAAGAATTTACATTACCATCTTTGGTGGCAGAAGTGGACAACGATACATGATCTGTGGCAGTAGCTTGGGTGAAAACAGGACCGGTGGGAAGGGGTGTGGCATCATCCTGCATAAGATTTCGCAGGTCTGATGTTTGAGTTCGTGTTGCAGTGGTGGAGAGAAACCCCAGGGTGTCTGATGAAGAAGGATTATGGGAAGTTGTTAGAACCTACAAGATGAATTGCAGGGATATATAATTATTGTGTATATTTCCCCTCTCACATTATGACACACATCTTAAACACTGTATTGGAAGTAGAAGTGCAAAATTATGTTACAGCTAGAATCAATCGTATTTACCAGTGACATATGGGATGAGAGACATTGTACATTCCCAAGTCCCAGCATCAAATATTTAAGTACCTGGGAAAGTAGATGACTGGGATTTTTCCAGCTCTGCTATGAAAACTGGACAAAAAAACAGGATGGGACCGCTGGAGATAAAGAAACACACACCCATGCAAATTCTGCAAAAGAATTCCCTCTACAAGCAGTGAAAGCAGTACATCACCTGGCACCCTCATAGCTATATAGGAGACCAACAGTAAAGTGAGATATGATAGCACACAAATCAAAATGCTTATTAAATCCAGGCGACAGAAATTTCCTGTCCTTCTGTACAACTAGCACAATGAAATCTTATTTATCTGAGTTGCCCAAAAGATATGCAATGCAAGTGGAGGGGGAAAGGAAGTGTATTTAAATTAATCTAGGCTTTCCTAAATTAATCTAGGATTAATCAGCTTTCACAAACAACAAAAACTACTGCTAATTTTCCGCGTTAACTAAGGGCTGTTTCTTAAAATCAACTCCCGGTTACATGAGCAAGAATTTAACTGTCCCAAACAAAGATTAGGCTAAAATTCTACCAGCAGCACAAGCCTTTTATCAATTTTATTCCATCTTAACAGCCATAGGTTCCCACCAAAGAATCCATGAAAAAAATCTAGTTTGGTGGCAAACCAAACTGTATTTTATTTGCAGATTTCTATGTTACTCCAATGCTATTTCAAAAAATGAAATACTGATAACATACCTCTTCCTGCCAGGTGCTGTTGGTTTCATCAGGCGGTTGAAAACCTAATTCATTTGCAGATTTCTCCATCATGCCCAACATGATCTCTGGCAACTCCCCGGGATGTTCGGTGACATGGTTTCCCTTGGATTCATTTGCACCTATAGGAGTCTCCAAAGGACCTCTCTCCTCTTCACTTCTGACCAGGTCAACATGTTTGTTTCCATCACTGAGCCCTGAAGAATTGAAACCATTCTCAGTTGCCACCAACAAACTCCAGTCAGCATAGTTCACATCCTCCTTCTCTTCAGGCTTGAGGCTCAACCGAAAGGGGTTCTGCTCCGTATCGCCATATTCATCTGGGTAGTCTGGGCTCTCCTCCCGACTGAGGAAGGACAGCTCCTTCAGGCTGCTGACTTCGTCTGATGGGTCGCCCTGCAGCGCCATTGGGCGGAGGACCTTTGATGGCACCTGCCCGTACCCCAGCAGTGCAGAGGGCCTCTGAGGAGGCCTTAGCACAAAAGTCAAAGAGGACTTCACCTTCTCCATCTTCTTGGGCTCGCAGTTCCCTTTACGTTGGCAACTGACGATGTAGCAGTGCCGTTCAAACATCCAGGCCAAGTCACAGTCGGAAAGATCGCAACAGGCTGCCGTGCAGTCTGACACCGACACAGCATGGGGGACCCGCATAATCTTCATGGTTTCTAAATTAGGAGATATTATTGCATCTGAATACTTGGCTCCTTCTCTGCACTGTTCGCAGAAACACCCTGAAATGATAGGTACTCATATCACAAGAGAGCAGGAGCGCTGAAAAGTCCTTCCCCTTACAATGAATTCTCATTTTAAAAAAAGCTTCATTAATTTATACTAATTTAATGTTGCCTAGAGAGTGGCACTGTGGATTAAACCACAGAGCCTAGGACTTGCCGATCAGAAGGTCGGCGGTTTGAATCCCTGTGACGGGGTGAGCTCCCGTTGCTCGGTCCCAGCTCCTGCCAACCTAGCAGTTCGAAAGCACGTCAAAGTGCAAGTAGATAAATAGGTACCACTCCTGTAAACGGTGTTTCCGTGCGCTGCTCTGGTTCGCCAGAAGCGGCTTAGTCATGCTGGCCACATGACCCGGAAGCTGTACGCCGGCTCCCTCGGCCAATAAAGTGAGGAGCGCCTCAACCCCAGAGTCGGCCACGACTGGACCTAACGGTCAGGGGTCCCTTTACCCTTTACCTAGAGAGTAGTCACTTTATCAACAAGGAATCACTTGAATCGTCACTCGAATAATTAAAAACTCAATTAAAAGTAACAAGTATCAGATCCCTTCTTTGACTGCACCTTCCTTTCAAACGAGCCTAAGAAAAGGGGGGGGGGGATAAATCACAGCTCTTGTCCAGCAGAGAGCAAAAGATGGTTTTCCAACTAGAGCCTGAAGACGGGGAATTCTGCTCCTCATATTTTTGACATATTACTGCATCCATCTCACTTATTTTGGAGAGAGGTAAAATGAAAGGTCTTTGGGGTTTTTTAAGCTGCCACTGAAATAGGGGTAGCACACTTACTTTGGCATTGCTTACTAGGCAACGCAGCCTGCTGAGTCACTAAAAAGGAGAGCATCTGGTTTGCAGGGAATCAGAGTTAGGCACTTCTACAAGGCAAAGAGCCATCCTCTGCTTTAAGCAAACTACTTTATTTCTGGGATCCTGCTGAAGAACCAATTCAGACAGTACACAAATGACTAATTAATAGTAAATGATGCAACGGTTTTAAGACCTTGATTCCCCCCTCCAGTCCTCCCCCCCCCCCAATTATTCTTTGTCAGTTATTATTTTTGCTGCTGAGCTCTTCCTCAGAATCAAATCGCATAAGGCATCTCAAGCCCTGCCTATATGCGCCTACAGCATTTTATGCTGCAATCCCACGCTACTTGGGCATGAAGGAAGTCAATGAAAGAACCACACAGATGGGGCCCATTGGAAGGTCCTTTCCAGCCAATCACTGCTAACATTCCCAGCCAAGTGAGGATTATGAGGGGACAGACTCTCACAGTTGGCCTTGCAGGTATGGCTTGCAGATGTGGTTGTTTTCATTCACACACACACACACACACACACACACACCACACACCTGTTACCAGCAAGGAAGTGGATTCCACTCTGTTCATCATGGGCATAGCCAAGGGGGTCAGGGAGGGGCAGCTGCCCCCCTTAGATCAAGTAAAACAACAGAAATACTTAACTAACTGACCAATCACATCGGTTCTGGCCCCCCTAACAAAAGTCCTGCCCCCTCCAATAAAAATCCTGGCTACGCCCATGCTGCTCATGCAGGCATGCAGATGGGACAGTAGTTCAAACCAGTGGTGTAGCGTGGGGGGTGCAGGGGGCCGGGCACACCGGGCGCAACATCTGGGGGGGCGCACTCGCACTCGCAGCTCTCTGCCCCTACCTGGCTCACAGGTTAGGGGGTGCAAATTACTTGCCTTGCCCTGGGTGCTGACAACCCATGCTACGCCACTGGTTCAAACCAAAAACAGAGGAAGTCTGAAGTGAGTGGATGGATAATGAAAAAGGATAAAGATGCAAAACTGTATGAATAAGGACTATAAGGAAGCCGGGAGCTGAGCACTGCACAAGCCACTTCAGCATATCATCTCTGACTCCGCTATATTCTTGGGAGGGACAGCATAAATTTAACTATGAACAACATACTGTAGTGTAAACTGGCTTGCAGAAGTGGTGGTGTAATCCATATACGACTTATATGTTTGCTGGTCATTTAGAAGCCAAAACTCATGCTGTCACATTCACTTATCCTATCTATCTATCTATCTATCTATCTATCTATCTATCTATCTATTTATATTATTGTTATTATTTTTATTTATTTATTTTTTAAAAAAAAACATTCTCCACCTCCTAGCTAAGTTCATCCCATTAGTTTCTTAATGGTGAATGTAACAAGAGACCTGTCAAATCAGACTAAAGATCCATCTAGCCCTTCATCCTGCCTCCAACAGCGGGTAGCCAAGCAAGCAGGACATCTCTAATATCCCAGTCTTAAAATAAAAACATAACGGCAAAAGCCATGATTTTTACACAGTCACTTTAATTTCATTGTCAGTGAGTCAGCAGAACATCTGACACAGCCTTCGCCCTTTTCAATACGTGTGCAGCAAGTGAACAGATATCTATTAAAAAGTGTCTTCCACCGAATCTTTTTGAGCCACATGCGAGTGGCCTCTCTATCCAAAATACGCATTGGGCTTGGCTCTGTTACTATGAACTTAAATGCATCTATCTAGGTCTCAGCTGTAATTACCTTTAAATGGCAGTTTTCTAGGCCTTGTGGGTGGAGACAACTGGATGAAAGCAAGATGTCGGAAACAGGACACACGCACCAGTCTATTCCCTTAAGAACCATGTGAGTCAAATCGGCTTCAGCTTTACAGATGGTATGGAAAGCATGGACAATCTGTTTGGTATTATTTATCTAAGATATCTTGCCCTATCACCAAATGGCCTCAAGGTGTCCTACACTAGAAAAAATAAAAGCCATTTTTAAAAAACGGGGGGGGGGACAGTATAGAATACACATGACAAACAAAAGTAACAGGGCAAGCCAAACTATGTCTACTCAAAAAGTGAACCCTACTGAATTCAGTGAGGCTTACTCAGAGGTAAGCATGTAATAGGATTGAAGCAAAAGCGAAGGCGTCAGAAAAATTCTCACAGTGTAATGACAGCGTTCTGTAACTTTGCTGAAATTTTTAATCTATACCATCCTGTGCCTTTACTTCAGTGGTCAAGGCTGAAATTCTATGCACACTTTATGGGGCAAGCCCCAATAAACTCAGCAGGGTTTACTTCTGACTAGGGGCATATAGAATTGCATTGTCAAGCTACATTATTTGGTCCGTGAAGCTGCAGCAACTATATAAATGCAAAATGACAGCCTTTCTAACACAAGTGTAAGAAACAATTTTCATGGAGCCCAGGGAATGGTCTAGGACTAACTGATGGTGGAAAATTGCTGATGATCACTGACGTAGATGACAGAGTATTAGGAATAAGACACATAAATTTAAAATAAAATAAATGAATTACTGAATGGAGGCAGAAAACTAAGGAACACTTTAACTGAGCATTCACGACATCAACATTGCAAGTCTAGTTAGCAGCTCCCAGAGTATGAGAGGTGTTGGGATGGTTCACAGGCCCACAATCACAAAGGAAAATGTCAGCAACATACTGAAGATTTCAGTGCACCTCCGGGGTGAAGTTAACAGCACCAAAGTGATCTCCTGGGGGGGGGGCAAGCCTAGGCAATGTGTGGGGAGGCCCTGAGCTGCCCAGATGACAAGCCCTGCTAAAGTGGTACCTCATAAGAGGTGCTTAAAGGTAAAGGTAAAGGTATCTCTGAGCGTTAGGTCTAGTCGCGGACGACTCTGGGGTTGCGCGCTCATCTCACTCTATAGGCCAAGGGAGCCGGCATTTGTCCACAGATAGCTTCTGGCAAACCAGAGCAGCGCACGGAAACACCGTTTACCTTCCCGCTGGAGTGCTCCTATTTATCTATTTGCACTTTGATGTACTTTTGAACTGCTAGGTGGGCAGGAGCTGGGACCGAACAATGAGAGCTCACCCCATTGCAGGGATTCGAACCGCCGACCTTCTGATCAGCAAGGCCTAGGCTCTGTGGTTTAGACCATTTATACTTCTGGTGTGGGCGAGGGAAGAATTTTTTTAACCACATACTGAAAAAGGCTTAACTAACTCTGGCAACATTTGGCAGGGCTTAAGAAAATCTTTCACCAAGCAAAAGTCAGAAATTCATCCAAGGCTCCAGTGTTAAGCTATATGTGGTTTTAAGCGCCTGTACATAATAAATAGGATTTAATTCTATCTCTGGGTTACTTTCATGTTACTGATGTGCCCAGCAGCCTCCTCTTCTCTGAAACACGGCAAGCCTTTGGAGGGGAGGGGAAATCATTTGCTTCAGGAAGAGTAGAGCACTGTTTCTAGATGGAGATTTAGCAGTGGGGGGGGGGGGCAAAACGAGAGCAAGGAAAATAAAGAGTCAAATAAAAATAAAACTCTGAAAAAAGGAAAACCTCAACAGCAATCTGCACAAATGGTCTGTAAAGGGTTTAAAAGAAACAGAAATTCAGGCAGCTTAGTGTTTACAATGATAGCATGCACACATCATGGTAAACCAAAGTTAATGGTTTCCTGTGAATGCTTCACTCCTCTGCACAAGTGAGAGAGAGGAGAAAACCACAACCTTTGACTTAATGAACCAAGGAGTCATGGGTTGTTTGACCACAAACGAGCAAAGATGTGAAGCAAATATTTGTTCTTATTAATTTATTCATTTCATAACATTTAAATAATGCTTGACTGTACAAAAATTCTCCAAGCGGTTTTCTTGGCTTACCAAATGTTTGTTGGGAGCAAAACAAGCAACGACCCTTGGTTCAGACCATGGTTTACTGTGATGTATGGACTGAACTGCTCAAGCAACTGTGACCTGTCTATACTGTACGGTGCACATCCATTTAGACTCTCCAGCTGGTGCTAAGACACTAAGATACTTCTATTACTGCTATCACAATCTTCATAAGCCATTTGGGAGTCTTTTGCAAGTCAGAAATTATTTTGAGGTTCCGTGCACAGTGGAGAACCTAGGTTGTGTGCAGACCGTTATTCTCTCTCCTGGCCTCAAAAGCAAAATAATGGTTTCTTATATTTATACAGCATGAGTGCGAAGAGTCTTGCCCTACCTGTTAGAATTCCCAAGAGTAAGCACAGGGTTCCTAGTTCTAGCGCAAGAGCCATTCTTCATTAAACAGGCAATATCAACCTCAGTTTCAGCAATCTGAAGACTTTGCATTAAAAAAAACCCCTTCGTTCTGCCAATTCTGTCCAATATCCAGCTGGGAGCCTGCAGGGGAGCAAAGGGGGGGGGTGTTGTGATGAACATTAATTAGCAAGCAAATAATTGTGTGCAAACATTACCTCATTGCAGTGACAAAAAACAGAAAAGGCGAGGAAAAAATGCTGCCTGACCATGGTTTACTGTGAAACTGACAACTCCCACTCTCTTCTTCCCCTGTTGGGAACGAGAGAAAGAAACCAGGGAGCCACAATTAACTTGGCTTGATGCAAATCTGGGATCTTACTTAGTTGCTCCCTATCCAGGGGAAGATGGACAATTTGGGCAAATGGAGCACCGCCCCACCAACCTCATTCTGTTCTCAGCCAAACCAACCCCCTTCCCTAGCTTCTTAACATTAGTTCAGGAGTAGAACTGTCTGCCATCTTCCTCCTCCTCCTTAGTGACAACGTTACCCTTGCAAAACACAGCAGGGAGGAGGTTGTGTAGAAGCTGAGTATTAGCTGGCTGCAACTGTCATTTGCTCTGGCGCCACCTACTGCTGGGCTCCCTTCCTTCCGTCCTACCAGCCACCACTGTTCCTTCAAGCCAAGATTTGTAAGACTAACAACAACTCCCTACCATGGTTTAAGGCTGGCTGACAATACTGGTTGGTTAAAAAGAAACCCCATGATTTCAGGTTCAGAACCATGGGAAGCCAACTTGGTTTGCTTCTTTCAAAGAAGCGTGCCGCTCTTTCAGAATAAATCATGATAAAGCCAGCAACTCTGGCTTATCGTGATGTGCAAGCATGACGACGGAAAGCACAGCTAGCAAATAATCCTGATAGCTTTTATTTTGGGGAGGGGGTAATAACAGCCATCAAGCCACTCAGCTAAATGCTGATAAGATATGCACCAAATTCTTAGTTGCTAAATAACTGGGAGTGGGGAGATGCTTCAATTAAAAGGTCATTTTGCGACTGAATAATTAAGCAGATATGACAGCTGCCTAGTCAAATGCCTGCATTAACAATTGGCGAAGTCGCCTTGAATAGCGAGGGAGCTCTAAAGACGAGAGGTTTTGAAAGGTTATACAGTTTCAAGAACCAATCATGCTAGCAGCCAATGAGCAGTGTAATTGCTCCAGCAAGATATTAAAATGCCATTATTAAAAGGAAATTTATGCTATATTGTGACACACGAGGCCAATAGAAATAGACCTGGTTTGAAATAACCTACGCTTCTGAAGCCATCCAGTTTTAAATGCCTTTCCAAGGGTATCTTAATCTGTGTAGTAACAGACAGCTGATCAAAGGTCAGACACCATTAATAGGAACCCCAAGACACAAAAATTGCCAAAATCCATTGGTAGCACTTTTATTTATTTGAATGTTTATGTTATGCCCGTTTTGGAGGAGTTGACTCCAAATTTGATACACACTTAGCAAGAAGTTCCAAGTGAGGAGAAACAGTAAAATCCCATCTTAACTCATTGTTTCTGAGGACAACAGGAACCAGTCTTTTCCATATTTACAAAAACTACATTACAGTGAAAACCTACGCTGGTTGCTTATTTCCTGATAAAGGTCCATGTATTTTTCTTAAGGGTGTGTGTGTGTGTGAAAGCAACTTGAAATTGCCAAGCCACGAAGATAATTCTCTCTTAATGACCGCGCTACACATGTCTCTTCTTGAGAAAAGCACTTAACAGTTGTCGATATAAAATAGCCAGAGCTTATAAAGCTACTCCTGGGGTTTAAAGATCTCTGTATTCAGGGAAAGCTTAATTACCCCTTAACTCCATTGATCTAAAGGAGATTTATGCTTATTTCACCCTAAGCAATGCTGGACCACAACAAAATCTAGACCAAGGGTGTGGTTTGAAGGCACATTGATGCAACAATCTTTGCTGAAGCTAAGCAGGTTTGGGCCTAGTCAGTGCCTGGATGAGAAGGAGCCTGCAAACCACATCAGGAAGAACATTTGCTGTTCAACAGTAAAACAGACTGCCAAGGAAGGCAGTGAAGAACAATGAGGTGAAGAATGAAGGTCAGGTCAGCAGGACATCTTCCTTTTGCGTTCTGGCACACCTAGAAATAGTTCACCTCCAGCCTGGCCTGACACGGCTGCAGGGCCTGCACATTATGATCATGATCATTGTTAATATAGCCTTCATTAATACAAGTAAAACATTAATGTGTACATAAGAATAAACTGCCCCCCTACTTTTTTGGTATGCTCCTGCCAAATCTGTAGGCTGGCTATTGGGCCTAGATGGACCTAGTGATGTTGGAAGGATGGCACATTCCCCCTCTGTTACCAGATGTCTGGTAGACTGAAAAACATGCAATTTTACCTTTTTAATTTTTAAGTGAAGAAGGAACTGTGAGGCATTCCATGGTCCCTGCCGGTGCTTAGGGGGCATTGGGAGGCTAACAGGAAGATGTTCCCTGCTTTATAAACATGACCACCTATATGTACGGACGGCAGGGATAGGAACTCCTGCTTCAGGCAAAATAATGCTTTGTAGTTTCTGGGGGCAACACTTGCGAGAGCTGTTGGGTGTGTTATGGACACTGGAAAAGATCCATTTTAAAATTTAAAACACATTTTCGCCAGGCACGTCTATTTTGTCATTTCAATTTCAAACAGGAGCAATGCAAAACAAAATAAAAAATTAAATATTGCTCGTGGGAACCATTTAGTCCTAGCAATCCATTAAGCGTCACCGGTGCATGCAGCTGTCCCAAGTAAACATGCACATTATGTTTCGCTATATTTGTCTCCCAATCCTATTCTGTTTCATCTTTAAATGGGATATTACCAGTACTGAATTCTTATCGCCCTGTTCTGTGCTTCTCACAAACATTTTGAAGCATTCGGCTTATCCAGTGCAAAATTGGATGAGTACATCACATACAAGCAAACAAAAATCATTTGCCTCTGGTTTCTCTTAGCCAAAAGGTTGTAAGTAACTTGGAACATGCAAGTGATTGTTTTATAGAAGCCACTTTTATACCTTGCAGAAGATATTTTTATGAGATGTCCCCCATCACTTGATGCAACCAGCCATTGCTGCTCTTTCCATCAACTTCGTCTAGTTGCTCAGCAGCAGGCGGGGGAGAGGTTCCCACACACAGCGATGTGAAAACATAGCCCGGCAGACATGCATCTGACTCCTTGTTGCAAGATGAATGCAAAAGGCAGACAATATCTACCTTCAGGGTTTTTTCCCCAGTGACGGATGCACAAGCGCTCCGTCACGGCGAGGAAGCTGCAGAGAAAGCCTCTTTGCAAAAACTGCTAGGCACTAAAAGGAATAAATGCATTTCCCCTGGAGACGACCACTGTTTTTTGTTTTTGTTGCAGCGGGGGAAAGCGGGGGGGGGGGAGGAAAGAGAGAGAGAGAGATGAAACATATTTGACTTTCCCCTTTGCGTTTGCAAAATCCTTACGGGGATCTCACCTTGCTGGGAGCAGAGGCTGGCTGTGTGCAAGACAAAAACCCAGGGCCAGAGCAAAACCGAGAAATCGAAGCAAATGCATCTTCCAGCGATTGCTGGACCTACCCCGCACCCCTTTTCCACCACACCCCACTTACTGGAAGCAGAAACGGCTTGCGAGGGCTTCCCTTTGCATGCGACACAAAGTCGCCAGCACCGACCTACGATGGAAGCGGGCGGGGAGCTCAGATTTTCTTACCTGGCGGTTAGAGACGAGGCGAGGAGGGGGTGGGGCTAGGAAAGAGAGAGAGATCGGGCGGCGCCAGGGACAGCAGCTGATGCTTCGGCAGGGTACGGCTGCATCCTTCAGTGCCCCATCTGCTCCTCCTCGTTGTCTTCCCGAAGATTTACAGGACGGAGCAGGAGCTGTTGGGTGATTTTTTATTATTATTATTTTGCAACCAAGGGCAATAAAAATTGGAAGTGGGTGTGCGTACTATTAGGCCAAGCTAGCAAAGCCTAGGCGATCGATGCCTGCAAGTCTTTTTCATGCTCTTGTCCAAAGCAAAACAAAAAAACAGACACAGCAGCGAACGCTCGGTCTCCCTTCCTCCTTCCCAGCCACTAAAGCGCATCCGCCATCCATGGTCTGGAGCTGGATCGCAACCCCGCCACCAGGGGGCGATGCTTGAGCTCCTCCCAACTCGCCTCTCATGTATCCTTAGAAGGGGCTAAAATGATAATAATTTATGATTTACACCCCGCTCATCTGGCTGGGTTTTCCCAGTCACTCTGGGCGGCTCCCCATAGAATATTAAAAACACGCTAAAACATCAAACATTAAAAACTTCCCTAAACAGGGCTGCGGCTGCCTTCAGATGTTTTCTAAAAGTCAGGTAGTTGTTTAATTCCTTGACATCGGGCCAGCTGCAGAAGAGCAAGGTGTTGTTTTTTTTAAAAAAGCATAGAGAAAACACTGAAAAGTCTGAAACAACTTTGAAATTTCGTTTTAAGTCAGGAAAATCACCACAAACCATGCAAGGTCAAGCAGGAAGCACGGGAGCAGAGCACTCCCACTGCTGGTGTTTGATGTTAGCCACAAGTCCTAACGATCCTGTAGTTTATTGAGAAATGTTCCTGTTTTGGGCATTTTCCCTCAAGCAAGCTTATGTCCAATTTGATATAAGCAGCGATTAAGCTGAAGTGTGTTGGACAGCGCCTGAACTATGGAAGCCACTCCCATGGGGGGGGGGCAGCAATGGCTACCATCTTGGGTGACTTTGAAAGAGGATTGAAGAAATTCATGGAGCAAATTCAATGACTACTTGCCACCATGGCTGTGCTCTGCCTTCATGGTTGGAGGCAGTAATTCTCTGAATACTAAAGGAGAGAGTGCTCATGTGCTTGGGTCCTGCCTATTGGTTTCACACAATCCAGCGGCGTAGCGTGGGTTGTCAGCACCCGGGGCAAGGCAAGTAATTTGCGCCCCCTAACCCGGGGCAAGGCAAGTAATTTGCGCCCCCTAACCCGGGGCAAGGCAAGTAATTTGCGCCCCCTAACCCGGGGCAAGGCAAGTAATTTGCGCCCCCTAACCCGTGGATTTGCGCCCCCTAACCCTACAAATCTATGCCTATGAATGATGGTCCCTCCCTCTCTCTCTTTCTCATATTCCAATTGATTCCCATTTCCGCCGATCAATCCCCGAAGCTCTCACCCAGCGAAATTCGTGCGTAATTACGCTTCGCCATCCCTAATCCTGCCGCTTCCACCAGGAAATCATGACGGTGCGTTTCTCCTCTCCAAACTTTCCCCGGCCCTTTGCCGGCCGGCGCAGCCCTTTTGGCTACGAGCTCCCCTCCTTCTCTGCCCGCTTCCGACCCCACCTCCCCGTCCAGCCTCCCTACCTCCTGAAAAAAGGCGCCGGCGCCGAGCAGGACACCCCCGTGGCCATCGGAGAGAGGCGGGGCCGAGGGAGGCAAGCCAATGGGCGAGGCGGGGGTAGGTGGCCATGGGGGCGGGCGCTGCTGCAGTCCTCGGGTGGGCAAGGTAGGAGCAGGCGGAGGCTGGCCGGCCGCTCTGACAATAGGGGCGGGCCGAGGGCACGACGGGGCTGGGCCCTCTGGACTCGCGCCCCCCCAGATGTTGCGCCCGGTGCGGCCGGCACCCCTGGCACCCCCCACGCTACGCCACTGACACAATCCACTGGGTGGCCACTGTGAGAACAGGATGCTGGACTAGATGGGCCATTGGCCTGATCCAGCAGGTTATATTATTATTATTATTATTATTATTATTATTATTATTATTATTATTACCATTTGAGACAGCCTTCACACTTGCACAGATGACAGCTTCAGGAATAGTTTGGGAAGGACTGCAGGCGTGGGGAAACCAAACAGGTAGCGCACATCAGGTGAAGACATCCCTGGCAGGTACATCAGTGCTCAAATGCCACTTGAAGCACAGTGGAGAGTGGGAACAACCTCACTGTGTTTTAAGCTGCAAATGTGTACATGAAATGCAACATCTTGGCAGCAACACTGCCTGAATGTAATAACCAAGTGAATGAATTATATCAGGCATAGGCAAACTCGGCCCTCCCCATGTTTTGGGACTACAATTCCCATCATCCCTGACCACTGGTCCTCTTAGCTAGGGATGATTGGAGTTGTAGTCCCAAAACATCTGGAGTTTGCTTATGCCTGAATTTTGTCATCTGTAAAGAACAGAGATATTGTGGAAGCAACCTTGGCTGCAGAGAACTCACAGCTAAAAGTAAAAATAAACACTGTATTTATTTAGCACATTAGTTGATGCCCAAAGTCCTCTGGGCAGTTCACACCACTGGCTTAGTTGTCAGATAAATAGAATCCTAGAATGGTGTGTTGGAACTTTGGAGGTTCAGTGCTTTGCTCAGTGCAGGAATCTGCAACTACATCATCCTCAATGGAGGGCTGGCCAGCCTCTGTTTAAATACCCCCATCAAAGGAGGCTCCACCACAACCTCCTGAGATGGCCAGCTCCACTATCAAACAGCTCTCATAATTAGGAAGTTTCTCCTAGCTCAGTAGCAGAGCATTTGCTTTGCATGCAAATCCTAAACACCTTGGAGAAACACTGCCAGTCTGAACTTACAGCTCCCATCAGCTCCAGCAAGCATGGCTAATGACTAGGAATTATGGGAGTTGTAGTTCAGCAATATCCAAAGGTTCTGGTGTAGATAATATTGAGCTAGACTGAACAATGGTCTGATTTAGTGTAAGGTAGCTTCCGATGTAGTGTATAAGGTAGCTTCCCAGTAGTGATGTATGGAAGTGAGAGCTGGACCATAAAGAAGGCTGATGCTTTTGAATTATGGTGCTGGAGGAGACTCTTGAGAGTCCCATGGACTGTAAGAAGATCAAACCTCTCCATTCTTAAGGAAATCAGCCCTGGGTGCTCACTGGAAGGACAGATCCTGAAGCTGAGGCTCCAAGACTTTGGCCACCTCATGAGAAGAGAAGACTCCCTGGAAAAGACCCTGATGCTGTGAAAGATGGAGGGCACAAGGAGAAGGGGACGGCAGAGGACGAGATGGTTGGACAGTGTTCTCGAAGCTACCAACATGACTTTGACCAAACTGCGGGAGGCAATGGAAGACAGGAGTGCCTGGCATGCTGTGGTCCATGGGGTCACAAAGAGTCGGACATGACTAAACAACAAGCTTCCGATGTTCCTATGAAATCTGCCTCCTTACCAGGTCCTGCTTCTGCCTCCTGGACAAAGAGACAACAGTCTTCTGCATGACAGCCCTGCGGAGAGACTCATCTCTCTTTCATGCTGAGATAAGCAACTCTGCAGTCATCACATCCTGCCTGCAGATCCAGTAGCAGGACTATTTTCGACATGCAGAAGTGGGAGGAATTCAGAATTCCCTGCAAGCACACAGTGACGTAGGGCAACTGCAAGCGCGTAGAGGGAATACTGCAAATTACCTACCCATGGGCAATCATACCTTGCCGCTGGGGCTTCAAAACAATCGATGATCACTACCTTATCTTTTGTGGGCTCCAGGAGAAAATACGTTGGTAAGGAGGCAATTCCTTTGTTACCTGGTTTGATTACATGATCAGATCTATTTTAGGATTGCTGACTTTTAAGAGTCATTACCATCAGCGCCAGTCCTAGCTTTTTTGCCAGTACAGTATGTCTCTATTGGATTCCACCTTGTCCTTTTCACTACTGCTGATTCAGTGGTCTCTCTCTTTGGGCCTAAGCCATACTGCCTCCCAAAGGGAGAGGATGAGCTATGTAGGGGAGATACCTCCTCTCATTGCCTGCTAATTTAGAAAGGTTGATGGGAATCAGCATCAGAAGGCTCCAAGGTTTGGGCACCCTAACTGGTGCATGGGAATCACAGAGTACCCATAATGCCGATCTCTAACTCAAGCCTTGCTCATCCTGAAAAAACATCCCCCTTCTTCACAGACAGGAAATGATATGACACTTCAGCAATGTAACAATTGTTTTAGGATTACCAGCCCATAGATAAAGTTGGTTGCTCCCCGCTCCCCCCCCCCTTAAAACAATTGGCTATTTTTCCAACTTAGCTACCTGAAAACAGTGGTTTAAATTTAAAAAAAACCCTTCAAGCCTACCTTTATTGAGTTCAATATAAGATTATGGAAAGGTGTGTTGAATTATTCTTTATTCAACTGAAGACTGAAACAGTATTATATGGCTAGCATTTTCATTTATCTAATTTGCACAGGAAATGAAACTTGGAAGGGGAATATATCCTGGAGTACCTATAAACTGGAATGAATTTAAGAGTATACATTTAAAAGTCTTCTCCCCGCCCTTTCACTGGGCAAGGATTCCAGTAACGCATGGATTAGTGTATTACCACTGAAGTGTATAAATTTGAACCAATCCCAGAATTGATTTAAAATACAGCAGGATGGGGGGGACGGACAGGAAAGGTTATAACAGTGTCTTTCATACACAGCGTGGAACTCATTCCCCCCCCCTTATAGTACCACATCAAAATTGCAAAGCAGACCCCAGTGATCGCTAGGAAATCTGCCGCAGTCCAGTTTTTCCAGCCCAATTAAATCCAAACTCTTAGGAACAATTTGTCCGCCAGCAGAAGCAGCTCGGAGGAAGAGGCGATCAAACCGCAATCTGCACTTGTAACGCGCATCCAAGTTAGTGTTTTGGCTTGTATCCCACGTGTAGCGGCAATGTTCTGGCTTGCCCAAGAATTCCCAAACATCCAGAATGTTGTCAGGCAAACCACCAAACTTAGCAACCTGATGGGGAGAAAAGTAGAAAGTGTTAATAGTGTACTATAAATATACTACCAATAATCAGCTTTCAAAAATGAGCTATTGATTGATTTTGTCACTTCTTATACGGTTCATTGGGAGAGCCACCAATTTTGTTGTGAAACACCATCACTGCTCCTTAGCAACACTGTTCTAATTCAGAAATAGCTACCCTGGCTTTGTTTAATCACTTGGTAAAAGGGAACTGTGATATCTTGTGTAGTTTTATGCTCCTTACTGCTAGTCAGGTCTACTTTGTTGTCAATATTTTGCAAGACAACTGCTGATTATTGCTGAATTATTTGTTTTCTTCTTTTCTGTATGCATGTTCTTGAAAATCCTTAATAAAACCTGTGTTTAAAAATATATATAGGCAAAGGGGAATTGTGTCACCAGCGGTGGGGAAAGCCCACGTAAGTGATATGTGGGGAAAGCAACAGTTATTTTTCGGAGATGAGGAAAGGAGTTACAAATAAACACAACACAACTAAGGAGTTTTGCTCGAGTTCACCTCTTTGTCTCTGAGATTTGTATCTCCTCCAAAAATCACAGTAGTGGACTCTGGAACCTCCGTCATTTTGGCAAGCACCCGTTTCAACTGATTCAAGCGTTCTTCGCTATGCCCCTTAGTGCTCTCCAGATGCGAAGTCATAAGGCAGAGGTCATTGCCAGATATGGTTGCCTATGAAGAAGAGCGAGAGATAAAGCATAAAGCGACATTTTCTGCATGCGATGGTCTGCTACAGCAGTAGGATTTCAACACACTTTACAGCAGTTTCTCGTGAAAGAACAAGATGCATAAAACTACATTTTCTGCACGGGGCTAAGTGCAGCTAGACCTTTCTTTACAATAACAGTTAATTCTCCCGTATATTGTCCTCCATATTTGGACAACATAAAGGTGGAGCTTTTCCTAGATGACAAGGACCCTTGTATAGATCTTGCCAATTCTGGTTTCTTCTGTACAGTGCCTAGCCTAGGCCACTGTTGTGACTAACATGATAACAAACAGGTAGGGCTGCGGCTATAACTTCTTTAATCAACAGTTAACAATCAACTATCGTTTTAGTTAATAGCTTTGTCAGGGCCAAATTTTAATCCACAATAGAGGCATTTTAAGATGATGGGCTGAGGGAAGAGTGCACTTCTTTGTTGACTTTAGGCTACTTTGCTTCTGGTGCATTTATGCAGTTGTTGGCATCCGTCTGTCTCAAAAGACAATGGACTGCACTTCCAGGAGTGAACTCAAACCACTGGAGAATCACAGCGCCTGCTGTGGCTGCAGAGAACGGTAACTTGTAACTGCTGCCTCCCATGTTGTTTTTGCTGCATTAGCAGCACCAAAGTGACCTCTCCTGGGCAGTATGTATGGAGGTCCTTTAGAACAACAACAACAAAATGCCCATGAACTAGGTGTGCAAGAACTCACATGTACTGCCAATAAATTTCTCATCATGGAGGTGGTAGGGAAAGGTGTTATTTCTTCTTTTAAAACTCTGACTCTTGATTTTTTTACCATTATGGCCGTAAAATAACCATCAGTATTACCTGAAGAGAGAAACACAGAAAAAGGAAAGGTCAACAACAATGTTGTCTCCTTCAGAAATTCCATATAATAAAAGACAGTAGCCTTGTTTAGACTACTAAAATATGGGTTGTATCCATCAAAGTCATCCTTAGTGCATGGATTATCACCTGTGCAACTGGACACCCTCTCCCTGCCCACCTTATCTATTCTCAGGGTTCCCCCAACCCTTCAGAGTAGATTTGATGGGGCATTATGGGGGGGGCGGACGAAATCCTGTTGCATAGGCAGACATCCTGGAAATGATGGAACAACTTTCAGATATACAACTCTGTGGTTTATGTTATTTTTATGTTATGTAAATCTAAGGTTGCCATATGTCTGCACTTTCCAGGACATATCCAGAATAGTGCAGTCAGAAGCAGTGTCCAGGGGGTAATCGTGGGAAATGTCTGGGAAATTCTGGACATATGACAACCCATGTCAGCAATGTTGTTTAGGTGATTTTCCTTAAAAATAGCTCAAAAACTACTTTCTTCCCCCCCCCCCCAAATTTGCCAAAAAAGCTCAACATCTTTGGGCAAAACTAAAAAAAGCTGTCCAGATTTTCACTGTTTGAAATATGACAATAAACTACCGAGGTTTTTACTGTTTTTGCAATCAAGTGGTCCATGAAGGCTTATACCATAATAAATAGATCTTTAAGGTTCCACAAGACTCCTGATTGTTCTTGCTGCAGCAGACTAACACAGCTACCCCACTAAAAATGTATAGCAATTACTGTAACTTCATTTTACCTGGAATAATTGTGTAACTGACGGCTCTCTTCTGCAGATAGGATAAAACTGGAGGAATAACCTCCTGTAGAAATACCACATCTGGGCTGTACCTAAATGAGAAAGCGGAATGTGTAATGGAACATAAAGCAACATACTGTAACAGATAAGCTGTTTACTATACAATGATCCTACAGTGGTCTTCTTAACTTATTCAATAACTTATTTAATTACTGTAAAAAGCAACAACAACTGGCCTTGCTTCATAACATTATGGCTGCAATGCAATGCAAACACGCATAGGGTTGTGCAAAAATATAGTTATGGAATCAAATGCACAAGCAGCACAAGGAAGTGTAATGAACCTGAGATTTGTCTCTTGAGATTTAACTGTTTGTATGCAAAAGGAGTAGCCGTGAAGATTCAGATCCTACTGGGGTTAAAATCAGTTATGTATTTCTAGGCTGGCGTGCTTAAATCAGCCTCCTCCAACCTGGTGCCCTTAGATGCTTTGGCCTACATATCCCACCATGCTGGCTGCATCAGATGGGATATGTAGTCCAAAAAATCTAGAGGCACAAGACTGGGCAAGGCCGGCTTACATATTCCTGGCAGCTCTACAATTCAGATAAGTGTAAAAGAAAAAAAATGGCATAGTAGAAATATTCTGATTTTTTAAAAAGTGCATCCCAATCTTGCTAACTTTGAAATAAATCCCAATGATTTTAATTAGGCTGACACTCTAATAAGGTACCATAGGACCACTGTGATAGATACTTACAAAGCGAGATAGGAGCAAACTCCTCGTGCCCTATCTTGCAGGTTTTGTAAATCCAGGCCATCTATATTCCAGGTAATTAAAGAAAATGTGCTGTCATCCTCTTTGGAGCTAAGACCCGCCTCTTTAACAGCAGCAGAAACTTTACCGGCGGTCGAATCATCTGTTAGGTCAATGCTAGAAAACACAGACACGTTACTTATTACATTGATAAGCCACCTTTAAAAGTGAAACTCTGAAGCTGGCTTCCATCATAAAATAATAAACACTGTATAATACAACTGTGCTATCCAAGCCCTAATGAAACCAGTAATAATAAAACAAACACCCAGCTCAAAACTAAGATATCATGTATAACTCTTAACCACTGCACAGCAGCAAGAGAATGCATGCAATAGAAATAACAGCTATGAGTTATTGGACCAAAGGTGAAGAATGGCAAAGGGTGTAATCCTAACCCTAGATCCACCAGAATGAGAGAGTTAGGATGTGGCAGGTCCCCAGTTCAGCCAGTAGATTCCCAGCTCAGCTGGGCTAAACTGGTATGTCACCAACCCCAGCTCAGTCAGAGATATGCTGGTGTAACTGTCTCATCCCAGCTCAGCTGACAAGCCAAAACCAGCAGAACTTACAGCAGCCCTGAAAAATAGGTGTTCTGGGGTGGGGTGGGGGGCAGGACCTGGCAGGGGGCACATATGCTGGATCCTAACTTGGTTCAGCTCAGTCAAGCAACTTGGCAACCCAAAGGAATGACAGAGTGGCATAAATCAGACCTTATATTAAAGACTTATTTCCCTTCTTCCAGTCTTAAAGGTAAAGGTAAAGGGACCCCTGACTATTAGGTCCAGTCGTGGCCGACTCTGGGGTTGCGGCGCTCATCTCACTTTATTGGCCGAGGGAGCCGGTTTACAGCTTCCGGGTCATGTGGCCAGCATGACTAAGCCGCTTCTGGCGAACTAGAGCAACGCACGGAAACACCGTTTACCTTCCCACCAGAGTGGTACCTATTTATCTACTTGCACTTTGACGTGCTTTCGAACTGCTAGGTTGGCAGGAGCAGGGACCGAGCTCACCCCGTCGCGGGGATTTGAACCGCCGACGTTCTGATCGGCAAGTCCTAGGCTCTGTGGTTTAAACCACAGCACTACCTGCGCCTCTCTGCCAGTCTTAGGCTTGCTTAAAGTCCTGAGCGGACTTTGGATCTGGCATACTCTACGCCGGCTTCACTTAATTAAGTAAATTACTCTGGCTTCCCATACTTGGGATTGCTTCCTCATTTGTATTTTCAAGAAAGGTATTCTGAGATGCTGGCCAGCTGTGAAAATGGCTTTACTTTCAGCTTGACATAGTGGAGCCGGTTTATGAAGGTACAAATCGATACCAGGTAGGTCAGATACAGGTTACTGCCATCTGGTTTAGGACCTTAGCAGCAGAGGCCACTCCTGCATGCAGCCTGCCCCTTTCTCCCACTCAGTTTCATTTTTTCCAAGTGCTCAGCAGACATGTAAACACAGCACTAATGTGCCCCAGGGCACCCTTGGTATGGCAGAACTCTGGGGCATGGGAGGGAATTTAAATGGCAGGTCTCAGAGGGAACCAACATGTAAGTTTTCCACAATGACCTGAAACAATGCTACTTTATGGGCATTGTGGAAGCCTTAAAAACTGGAGAATTGCTGGAGCCAGACCTTATTTAGAGACTTGACTACACTACCGACCATTCCCCTGGGCAGGGCCAGGCAAGCCAAGTGCAAGACATATTAATGATTATACCACTAGGATGTCTTAGAGGCATATACAGGGTGAGTCTTTTAAGAGAGTCCCGGTGGAACATGTGTACAGTGGTACCTCAGGTTAAGAACTTAATTTGTTCCGGAGGTGCGTTCTTAAACTGAAACTGTTCTTAACCTGAAGCACCACTTTAGGTAATGGGGCCTCCCGCTGCCGCCGCACCACCACTTTTCTGTTCTCATCCTGAAGCAAAGTTCTTAACCCAAGGTACTATTTCTGGGTTAGCAGAGTCTGTAACCTGAAGCTTCTGTAACCCAAGCTACCACTGTACTCTGTATCCACTGGGCCTCTTTTAAAGGACTCACCCTGTACTATTGTAAAGGCAGCAGGCAGGTGATGCTCTTCCAAAGAGAATGAGGTGGGCTAGGCTAAGAGAATAGAGATTAGCCCATGGTCATCCCGGTGAACTCGTGGCTGGGAGGGGATCTTAACCCCTCTGATTCCACTGCCCTGACAGCACCACCGTCCAATTGCACCAATATGGCCCCCATGCATCTGTACACAAGCGGGAATCGATTTGTTAACCCCGAGGTCTTCTTGAGAGGGATGAGTTACAGGCGCAGGAGACTTACAGGGTCCCCTCCACCGGGAGAGGCTCTGGCATCGCGTCCATAGGTTGCTCCTCAAGAGGCGGCTCAAAATAAGAATTCAGCGCTCTCTGCAAAAACAAACAAACAACAAAGGCCCAAAAGGCAGAGTTTGGTTGTGTGCTAGGATCATGCGCCGGGATCTATAAAGCACGTGCTTAAAACGAGAAGCGAGGGCATACCTGCATATCCCAGTCATTCTCTGCCAGGTAGCACTGAGCAACGGCTAGATCGCTGCCGCTGATGGAGGCAAATTCCAAACATAGGAGCTTCCTGCGCTTCTCTTCTTCCTTCTCTTCCTCCTCCTTGGAAGGCTGCAGCTGCTGCTCCGGCGTCCTCTCCTCCGGGGTCGCCTGCTCCACCCCCTGAGCAACGATGCCCACATCCATCTGCCTGTTTGTGAGTTCTTGTTGTTGGGTTGTTTTTTTTTCAAAGCTCGCGCTCCCTGTTTTCTTTCAGGACCACCACCGGTTTTCCAGCTTCTGCAAATCCACGCCCCTCGAAGCTCAAATGTCGCGCAGGCGCAGCACGGGCAAGGCACTTGAAGCTACTGCGCTCGCCCGCCCGCTTAGCAGCCCGACCCGATTGCTGGGAGGTGAAAGGGTAGGCGCCGTGGGCGGGGATTCGGCGAAGGCAGCGAACGTTCGGCGAATGGAACGCGGAGTAGCAAGTTTTAGAACGCTGGGAGCGAGCGAGGGAGGCGGGGCTTGTCAAGAGATGTTCCTCCAGTTCTCCAGGGCCGGCGCTGAGCTCCGAAGGGCCAATTTGCTGCTCAGGGATCCTGCATCTTTGCAATTGCCTCGTGTTGTCCGCAACTCCGAGATCTCCCAACTACTTGACTGCATTAGTGAGAAGCCTGGCTATAGCGCCTTGCTCGAGAGAAGGTCGGAACTTTGAATCATGAGTCACCTTAAGATCCAGTCTCTCCGCGCGGTGGTGAAAATGCTTCTGGAGTCTCCCGGATTTGATCGGGTGCTGAATAAGGTAAGAGCAGGAGGGGATTTTCTGAGGTTCCCCACCCTGTGTGTGTAATGTGCTACCGACTTTCCAGGGTCACCTTGAATAGGGCAGCAAAGTTGTGCAGGGAGTGAACACTCTGGGCCTATTGGCGCTTGAAAAAACGTAGGTTTACAATTTTTGAATGTAAGAGTATTTATTTTATTTGTCGTTGCTACAAAAAAGCAATAAAAAGTAGGTTTACAGTGTTCCTGAGAGAGGTCCTCAGTAATACTGCTTTAGATTGCAAACTACCTTCTCTACCATTCACTTATATACTGGGGGCGGGGCGGGGGCGGGGTTATGTGGTGGCTTCCCAAAGATGTTACTTCACTCAGTTCAGAGAAGCTCTGTGACTATTGGGTGTGTCCTAACTAGGTTGTTTACATAGAAATTGCACTGGTTTAAAGGTCACCTGGTCCTAAACAGGGGCGTCTCAAGGGGTGCAGAGGGTGTGGTCCGCCCCGGGTGTCATGCCTAGGGGGGCTGACAAAATCCCCCTGGGCAGATCGGCGTGATGGCACTTGCAGGCCTGGTGGGCAGGCAGATTTCAGCGATTGACGCGATCGTCATCATGAAAATCCGCCCACTGATTGCACAAATACACCCGACAATCAGCCTGGCACCCCCCCCCCCCCGACGGGCGGCACTTGCATCCCCAGCAGTTTAATGCAATTGGCGGTTGGATTTTCACGGGGGTGCCAGTGCCGCCCACTGATCACGGAAATCTGGCCACTGATCGCACAAATACGCCCCGCGGCACTGACACGGTTTTATGTGATCATTGGTTGGATTCGCGCAACTCTGGGCAACCTTCCTAAAATTGCAATGTGGGGGGGGGCGACAAAAAAAAATTCACACCAGGTACCACCTGACCTTGCTACGCCTCTGGTCCTAAATGCCCCAGCCAGTTTCAGCCAATCAAACTGCTTATTGCGGAAATTAAAAATAAACGCTATTTGTAACATATGCTTACTGAAACCTGAAACTTTTTGAAAAAGGGAAGAAATAATTGGAAGAGGTTTGAAAGCACATTTAATGCGTATGACCTTCCCACAGAATCCTGGGCAAAGTTGTTTAAGGGAGCTGGGAAGCGTAGTGGTTAACTGCAGTTCCCATGATTCTTGGGGCAGGTCATGTGCTTTAGGTTTCTGGTGTGTAGGAAGATTGAGCAAGTTCAGTGGACCCAGAATATTGGCTGACCTTTGGATTGGGTGAACAGCAGAAAAAACATTGGGGAGGGAATAGAATGGAGTATGCTCGAAAAGGGCACCGCTGAATGGTTGGTACCCTGAGGGAAAGAACTGCACATTTCAACCTTATTTTGCTGCTGGTTTCACTTGTTTTCTCCTGTTGTTCGCTGTTTTGGAGACCAAAAGGCAACATATGTGCATTTTAGATTTTAAAAAGCAAGCATTTTATTTCAGTTTAGTATCCTGTAGAAAACCTACTGAAGCTTAATGGAATGGGACTTTTCTTCTCTCACCTCCTCTGCTCCCAGATGACGGTTCTTTCTGCCAGTCCTGGAAAAGTTGTCTGTGAAATGAAAGTGGAAGAGGAGCACACAAACCGAGGCGGGATTCTTCATGGAGGATTGACAGCAACTCTGGTAGATGTTGTGTCAACCGCTGCTTTGCTGCACACCGAAAGAGCAGCACCTGGAGTCAGTGTGGATATGAATATTACGTATGTATGACAAAATCCAATATTTATTTCAGTGCCCGCTTTCGTTTAATTGGGCCTTGACTCTGCAACTTACGTGGCTTGTATTACCGTATTTTTCGCTCCATAGGGCGCACCTAGTTTTTAGGGGGGAAATGAAGAAACCCCATCCCGCTGGCTGTCTTGGCTTCCTCTTTAGCCGCACGCAACCTCTCCTGCCGGGAGAGGCTGCGCACGGCTTTGGCAGAAGCCAAGACAGTGAGTGGGATGGATCCCACTCGCTGTCTTGGCTTCGTTTTTAGCCGCGGGGCTAGGGCGGGGGAAGCCCGAGCTTCCCCTGACCCCAGCCCCCAGAACAGGTCCGGGAGCGGCAGCAAGGTTGCGTGCAGCCTTGCCGCCGCTCCCGGAGCTTGCGGGGCTGGGGGCGCGCTCCGGAGGCTTGCGGATTGCTGCCTGAAGCCCGGGGAGCGCAGCGGGAGTTGGTGCTGCGCTCCCCGGGCTGCAGGCTGCTATCCGCAAGCCTTCGGAGCGTGGCAGGAACTCCTGCTGTGCTCTGAAGACTTGCGGATAGCTGCCTGAAGCCTTCGGAGCGAGAGGGGTCTGTGCGCACCGACCCCTCTCGCTCTCCAGGCTTCAACAAAAGCCTGCATTCGCTCCATAGGACGCACACACATTTCCCCTTTGTTTTTGCAGGGGGAAAAGTGCGTCCTATAGAGCAAAAAATATGGTAGTTAAAAGTAGAGGCGTGGGTTATCAGATAAGTTTTGAACCTCACAGGGTGGTTGTGAAGATAAAATGAGGGAAGCAAACCCTATATGCTGTCTTGAGCTCCTTGAAGGAGAGATGAACTATAAATGTAAGGATTCTTTCTCTCTCTCCCCCCCCCCTTTTCCAAATTCAAGCTACATGTCAGCAGCTAAGATCGGAGACGAAATCCAGATCACTGCGGAGATTCTGAAGCAAGGAAGAACACTGGCCTTTGCCAATGTGGACTTAAGAAACAAGGCGACAGGGAAATTGATAGCCCAAGGGAGGCATACCAAATACCTGGGATAGTCACAGAAGGAAGCTTTGGGCCTAGAAGAAAAATAATGGGGTAGCATTACTTTATGGAAGTAAGTCAAACAAAGCAATACAGTAAAGATGAGAATGGATTAACTGAACAAAACACTTTCTTAGGTACAGCCACTAGGGGTGAAATATCACTACCTGAATCCTCCTTAATGTTCATGTAAACCAAGGTGATGGTTGAAGTTCATGTTTATTATTCCATGTGTATTTTGTTGTAAGCCATCTCTTGGGGATTGGAAGGGATGCTGTGTGTGCATGTGCCCGGAAGCAGGAAACAAATGTAAATAGCAACAATTTGCCGTTGACAGAAAAAAAATGTGTTGCTGTGATTAATACTGGTTTGATTTCTGAAGCCCTGAAGAGAAAGATACAAAGAAAAGATGGAACTCAAGTGTTCCAGCATCTGAAACCTGGGAACCATTTGTGGAAGAGGTTCTGATGCTGGTGCTTTTGGGTTGGGATGGGTTCAGAGTCCCCAGGGGTCGGCCTCTGCCTCCAGGATGTTTTCGTTGAAAGAAGGAGTGGTGATGGGGGTGGATTCTGCTTTCAATGGCTGAGGAAGCCTCCAGAACAGCATGAGAGGTGGTGCCAAGGGCTGCAGGAGGAAAGGAGGAATTGGTGAAAATTGCCTCTTGTGTGCACATGTACACACATGGTTACTCCAGCAAGAAGTCTCTGTGAAATCTCAGTCCCTTCTGCAAATTGAAGGAGTCCTCCTCTTTGCAGATGGGTGGCTATATGTCCAGCTGAGAATGTTCGCAGATGACTTCTGTGTTGCTCTTTTCAGCCAAAGCCTTTGGACTGACCAGTGCATACTTTGAATTCAGTGGTGAATGATTGCCAAACTAAGCATAAACTACTACTTTCTCCTCTGTTAATTTGTAGATATTATTGAACAATGTATAAAGTGAATTGATCTTAAAAGGGTACTTTTCCTCCCAAAATAATGAATTTAAAGCATGAACCCTGTGCTAAAAGGAAGTTCAGTATGGTGACAACTCAACAGTTTTCAATAAACTTGGTTTTGTAAACTTGCTTCTGTGTATTCCGCCCCCCAGTTGATTTAGAATACAGGATCCTGTGGTCTAAACCACTGAGCCTCTTGGGCTTGCTAATCAGAAGGTCGGTGGTTCGAATCCCCGCGATGGGGTGAGCTCCCGTTGCTCTGTCCCAGCTCCTGCCAACCTAGCAGTTTGAAAGCACACCAGTGCTAGTAGATAAATAGGTACTGCTGCAGATAAACGGTGTTTCCTTGCGCTCTGGCACTTGTCACGGTCCTCCATGCGCCAGTAGCAGTTTAGTCATGCTGGCCACATGACCCAGAAAACTAACTGTGGACAAACGCTGCTCCCTCAACCTGAAAGCAAATACCAGCTCCCTTGGCCTGAAAGCGAGATGAGCGCTGCAACCTCATAGTTGCCTTTGACTGGACTTAACTGTCATGGGGTCCTTTACCTTACCTTTACAGTCCTATACTCACCTAGGATTTGGCCCCATTGAACTTAGTGGAACTTACCTTTGAGTAGATATATGTAGGATTGCACTATTGGTCTACAAAGGGGCTCTCACAACTAAAAAAGTTGTGGGTGTTTTCTAGTTCTGAAAACTTACTTTGGAGGCATATCACAGAATGCCTTTATATTCTTATTTTGATGTATGTCAAAGCTATAATTTATGGGCCCTTATGTCTATTAGGATTGCTCTGGAGACCATCTGAGGTGGAAGTGGAAGTATGCAGATATTGATCAAGCATGGTACCTTCATTATGGAACTAGTCAAAGGGAGGCCAGTCTGATTGTATCATTACAGATGTTTATAATGAGAGCCAATGTTCACCTTGTCCAATGAGGTTTAGCTAATTTGGATTTTGTGGTCATTTATTAATATTTAATCTTTTTTATGGAGTAGTTCTTCCTCTTGTGTTTTTGGGACAATTATGTAAATGGAGAGTGTTTACTGCTAATTACAATCAGGATAGAGCATAGGAGAAAAATTTGGTTTGAGGGCATAATGCACCCACTTATGTGCTGTCCAAAAATTATATTGGATCTACTATGTGACATTTCTCTGCAAAGTTCAAATTTATTCACAACGGGCCAGCTTGGAAAAAACACTAAACAATGATTTAGTTTTCTTGCATGAGCCTCTGTGAGCCAAGCCCCAGGCTCTGGAATAAGAAATAACCTGTGGTTCCATTTTGCTTATATTTAAGTATGAACTATGAATTCTTAACGACAAACTCTGGTTTAAACAAGCTAGCTTTATTACTGGAGGTTTGGCATTGCCTTGTTTTGCAGTTGAGTAGTTGTTTTTTTAAAAAACAACAACAATTCTTGGTTCACACTGATTGACAAGCCGGGAAGTTGGGAAGTTCTCCGACTATAGTTGCTGAATTAGCACAGCAGAACCAGAACAATCATGTTATCACCAAATACCGCTATTGTAAATGATCATTCACTGCACATTTATTGGCCTGCTAACATTAAATTGTGATTTAGTGCTACATGCACAAATTTGTGTGAATTTAAGTGCCCCAACAAGTAATGATTCAGGTTAACTTCCTCCATCTTGACAATGCCCATATTATACCTGCCAACTGTGTATACAGTAGTACAGTGGTGCCCCGCAAGACGAACGCCTCGCAAGACGGAAAACCCGCTAGACGAAAGGGTTTTCCGTTTTGGAGGCGCTTCGCAAAACGAATTTCCCTATGGGCTTTCTTCGCAAGACGAAAGCCCATAGGGAAATCTCCGGGACAGCGGGGAAGCGCAGCGCGTCTTCCCCACTGTCCTTGGACCTCCTCCGAAGGCTGGCGGCGGGCGGAGAGACCTCCTCCCGCCGCCAGCCTTCGTTTCTCCGCTATCCTGGATGGCTTTTGAAGGCAGGCGGGGGGGAGCAAAGACTTTCGCCCCCCGCCGGCCTTCAGAAGAGGTCCAGGACCTCTTCTGAAGGCTGGCGGGGGGCGAAAGTCTTTGCTCCCCCCTGCCTGCCTTCCCGGGAGAGCGGAGAAACGCAGCGTGTTTTTCCGCTGTCCCGGACGGCTTTTGAAGGCAGGCGGGGGGGAGCAAAGACTTTCGCACCCCGCCCGCCTTCAGAAGAGGTCCTGGACCTCTTCTGAAGGCTGGCGGGGGGCAAAAGTCTTTGTCCCCCCTGCCTGCCTTCCCGGGGGCTTTTAAATCGCCCCGGGACAGTGGAGAAGTCCCCTGCTGTCCAGGGGCTTTTTAAAATGCTGGCGGGCGGCAGCGGAGGCTTCACTCCGGCCCGCCAGCATTTTAAGATCGCCCCGGACAGCGGAGAAGTCCCACACTGTCCCGGGGCTTTTTAAAATGCTGGCGGGAGGCAGCGGAGCCTTCACTCCCGCCCGCCAGCATTTTAAGATCGCCCCGGACAGTGGAGAAGTCCCCCACTGTCCCGGGGTTTTTTAAAATGCTGGCGGTGGGAAGAAAAGCCCTTGGTCCCGTCCCCCCCAGCCTTCAGAAGAGGTCGGGGGACAGACTGTCCCCGGACCTGGTCTGAAGTCGGTTTCCATAGGAACGCATTAATTGATTTTCAATGCATTCCTATGGGAAACCGTGCTTCGCAAGACGAAAAACTCGCAAGAAGAAAAAACTTGCGAAACGAATTAATTTCGTCTTGCGAGGCACCACTGTACATGCATCTCCTTGAAGTGGGCTGGAATCCAAAAAAAAGCTTATGTAATAACTAATCTGGTAGTCTTTAAGGTGCTACAAGACACTGTTGCTTTTGGTGTTAAAACTGGGTCAGGAGCAGATTGTTAGCTTGGTGGGAAAACAGTAATTTGAAATCCCCAAGGGTCTAATGGTCGCCTTTCCTGGTGGCGCAAAGATTCATAAGGCAGTCCGTCTAGTTCTCAATCATTAGGCAACTTTACTATTATCCCTCACCACTGCTCCTGCTGGTTAGGGATGATGGGATTTGTAGTCCAACAATATTTGGGGAAAGGCCTCATGCCCTCAAGGAGCTGTATTCCCAGGCTGCCTTCATTGCTGTGGGCTTGGTAGATTTGCACCACGGACTTGCAACCAAGTAAAGGTAAAGTGACCCCTGACCATTAGGTCCAGTCGTGACCGTCTCTGGGGTTGTGGTGCTCATCTCACTTTATTGGCCGAGGGAGCTGGCATACAGCTTCCAGGTCATGTGGCCAGCATGACTAAGCCGCTTCTGGCAAACCAGAGCAGAGCACAGAAACGCCGTTTACCTTCCCGCTGGAGCGGTACCTATTTATCTACTTGCACTTTGATGTGCTTTTGAAATGCTAGGTTGGCAGGAGCAGGGACCGAGCAACAGGAGCTCACCCCTTCACGGGGATTTGAACCGCCAACCTCCTGATTGGCAAGTTCTAGGCTCTCTGGTTTAACCCACAGCGCCACCCGCATCCCCAAGTAGCTGCAGTCTATTACAACCATCAGAACTGTGCACCTATAGGGTACTGATTCCTTGCCGGTCCTATTTGCTTCCTAACACCAGTAATGACATTAAAACTTAAGAGAACTGATGCAAAACTGGGAGGTTGGGGTGAAGATGACAGCAGCAGTGTTTGAATTATTCTAGCAGCATCCCTGCTAGTCTTGCTTTGGAACAATCTGGCCCAGATTCTGTAAAGTGCTTCTAATGTCCTGTGATAGGAGTGGCAGGGGGTGAAATAGCTCCTTCTCACTGGAGAGTTCTCATTTCTCTTAAAAGCTTTCTAGAATCTGGACTGCCTGGGTGAAATTGTATTTCAGTTGCTTGCAGCTTTGAGCTTGGCACTTATCTCATCCTTCCCCGCTTTCAAAGATCCCCGATCTGAGCAAGGGAATAAAAGTGGGGAGGGGCAGGGAGAGCAAAATTGTAGGGAAGCCAATCAAATAGTTAGCAACGGGGAATGGCTGTGGGTGTAATGAATGGGTGGTGGTAGTACAGATAGAAAATGCCTGCTACTTTCAGAAGTGTGGTTACGTGGCTGACATTTGTATTAATAGACAGGAGCAGCTCTCATTGCCGGCTCACAAAATGTAGCTGTTTTGATCACTGTGGTTTGTTGATGGCAGAACCTATATTGCTGCATATTGATCTTGGTGTTGCGATTCCTCTTGCAGGATTCATTAGGGAGATATATACTAAGTCAGACCATCTAGCTCAGCATTGTTAACACTGACAAGCTGTGACTCTTCAGCTTTCCAAACTGGAGTCCTACCTAGTCTTTCCTGGAGATTTCGTGGACGGATCCTGGGATCCTTTGGAGGCCACGCATGCGCTGTACTGCTTACTGTGGCCCTTCCCTATTGACTGTTTAGAGGGGCACTGGGGAACTTTCGGCCCTCCATATTGCTGAGCTATCTCTCCCATCAGTCCCAGCCAGCATGATCAATAGTCAAGGCTTATGAGAGTTGTAGTTCAACAACATTTGGAGAGGCAAAGGTTCCCCGCCTATAATGTTAATTTCTGAGGGTGCAGTGTTAGAACTCAAGCTTCTGCTGTGGGTAAAGAAATATACTCTGCTAATTCTCAGAACATTTCCCCCTTTAAAATGGGTGGGGAATGGAAAAAAATCCCTTTGGTACTTCGTAACATCAGCCTGGCTCCCAATAGCTATTTTAGGTGCACACCTCTGGCCTGGTGAAATGTGACATTCTCCATCCAAATTGTAATCCTTCATGCATTATTATAACCTTATTATGAAGACTTCTCCCTTTAACTGGGTTTCAAAAGTGAATTGCCATGTTTTATATAGAAGTTTAATGTACTGGTTATAGAAAATCTACATTTATACGCCTGTGTTATAAGCCAGGCTTTCTGTGAGCATAGTGATAGACCTTGTTCAATATTCCACTTGTGCTATTGCTAGAGGAAACAAACCAGGAAGCTTTGCTTCCTGTTCTGTCTAAACCAGAGTGCAGAGCTTGCTTGTCCCTAACAAGCAACTACCCCTAGCCAACCTTATGCCATGGTTTGTTTTTTTCTTCCTGATAATCACTTGTTAAAGAGCAGATAATCCTTGGTTCTAATGTAACAGAAAGGCACAGCTTCCTGGTGTATCCCACTCATGGGAGGAATATGAATGTGTACTGCCACTCATCCGTAATAAACCAGGAAATTTAATTTATTGTTACATGTGAACACTGCCAACAAATTTTGAATTGGTATCTCCAGCTTATTTTGCATATGATACTTTTTGATGTATCTAACTGTTGTCATATGCAAAGACTGTCTACCTAAAATTAGCTATGACATGTCATAAGCTAGTGTCTACATGTTTTTAAAATAAATGAACGTAGAAGTCTTTGGTCACCTAATTTGTTTATTTTTAATTTTTTTCCAATTCCAAACAAAAGCTAAATACAGATTTTTTTAAACAGATAAGCACTAGTTTTACCCAAAGGGAGTAGGCTTATACAGATTTACTTCAGTCAAATTACTCAACCCTTTAAGCAAAGCTTTCTTTGCCAAAGCTATACAGTAGTCTTCCTTATGTTCATTGCACAATCTTAAACAAAATATGTTCTGTCAAAACCAACTTTGACACTCCAAACAATATTTTACAATTAAATCCACAACTGCTTTATTCCTCCCCTCCCCCCAAAAAAGAACCTCAGAGGGTTTTCCATAAGAAATGTTTTGGAAACCAGTATTTCCTACAGTTCACAAGTCAACTGTCAGGAAAAAAATAATAATCCTCTGCCAACGTGGTTTCTGCAGCTGCTATCTTAAATTTAGCTGCTTTAGGCTACTTCAGACTCCAGGTCTGTAAAAATGTATTCAACTCAACAGAACACTCTACATTTAGTTACACAGCAAACTGGGGAAAGAGATCCAAAAGTGAGAATGCCAGGAAACTCAAACAAGGCCAAGCAAAATAAAAGAGGCAATTAATGCCTACACCAAATGAGATGCTCTTTTTTCCTTAAAAGATTTCTTTCCCACATTTAGCCATCTATTGTAACAAGCCATAGACCTATTCATGAACCTGATACAATCGTGTTAACAGCAAAGCTTATGGCTTTCACACCATTACATTCATTCCTCACCCTATGAATACTGATATTAGGGGACATGACCAGCACAAATGGGAACACCACCATATATGATCACTTTGTGCTCTCAGATACATTTCTTTCAGTGTATAACAGTCCCTTCGTTTCACATTTTGGTAGGATGCTCATACAATGCAGAAATATGCAGAGCATTCTCTTTCACAAGGTCCATGCAGAAAACATCTAAAAAAAAATTTTAAAGTTCTGAGATACAAATGATAAAAGAAAATAATCCAGGATGATCAAGTTCCACGATGGATAGTGTTCTGAACATGTGTCCATTTTCTTCTATTCCGAAAGAATAAATGGTGAGAAAAGTGAAAACTGCACTCCTGCATTCTGTGATCTTCCCCATTTTGCTGGCCAGTACCCTATTCTGGCATGTAAGGACGGAGGTGATCCTCTACGGTACCAACCGCCCAGTGGGTGAGCTGCTCTTGTGGCAGATATAGGCAGATGCTGCATAACTTGAAGATTGTAGCTTTGTTTTTTGGAGTCTGGAAAGAGATACATAAATTATTTCAGGACAGAGTATATTTTATAAACAGCACTGTGTGGAAAAACAAATTTCACATATTGCCTCAACTCATCCTTGCAGAAGCAACAGAAAATGAAACTAATGGTGATGCAACATAAAAGCATAACAAAGAATTTATGGTGCTTGCTGAATATGTAAATTGATCACCAGATTTCTAAAATCTGCCTTCTCCAGCAGGGAACCTGTACCATTTTTTCTCGCTTAAGTACATATACAAATCCTTATTGTGTTTCAAAAGCGGACGAGCAGAAACAATCTCAATTAATGACAAATGATACTGATGCACACTTGCAAATCCCCACCACCTCAGTTCCTAAATCTAATAGAAATACACCCAATCAGATGGCTTCATTGCACTCAAGGCAGAGCAGCTCAATACTTATAAAGTATATCCCACAAACTTACTGTTTGGAACATATTGCACATTATGCCATAGAAAAGGAATGCTGTATCTGTACCTCTTGACTGCAGTGAAGCCAAGCAGACAGCTATTAAATAATAGAAAAGAGGCAAACAAGAGCATAAGGAAAAACAGGTATGCACTGGGAGATGGCTACCTGCAAGTGCTGTCGATCAATGAAGAGAAACACTGACTGGTTAGGGTTGTTGATAACAATTCCAGTCTTGTCCTTTCGGCTCAGTACATGCAGAAACTGTTTTTCATAGTCACCATGATGAAATTCAAACCTGGCCTGTGGGGTGGGGGTGGGGAATATGTAACAAAAAAGTTTAAATAAAATATGTTCAAGGAGCACCAATCTAAAGTCAAGGTTCACGTATGCAATGCATCCAAGTGCAGAATAGAAAAATCTCAGGAACAACTTGAAATTATAGCTAATGGAGATATAGTTTAAATTAGACTGATTATTACATCAGTATCTCCCCCTTTTCTAATGGCAGTACATTTGAAGAACCCCATATTTAACTTTATGTAAACAAAAATGACGACTATCGCAGATGCAGTACTCCATACTTACTGGTAAAAGCTTCTGGCAAGTTATCAATCAAGAGACAAAATAAACTAAGTAACTTCAAAACATCTGCTTAGGTACATTCAGTGACAACATTCTGCCTTTGTAATCATGCAAACACCTTAATGATTACAAAAATATACCACAATTCACTATAACCACCATAAAGAAAAAGTGGTATTCATTAAAAGTGCTAATGGCTTATTTGGGTTTTAGTAGCACGCTGCCTGGGACCTGTATCATACCTGAACAGGCCTAAAGGGCTCATCATCCGATCCCTTCCACCTAGAAAACAGAAGACAGACTATCTTCTCAATATCATTCCGAGGCCAAAGTATGAAGTCCATCTCTTGCGTACAGCCAATCACATCCTGTTAAGGACATGAATAAAATTAATAGTGTCCAAACAATCTAGTGGGAGAACACACACACACACACACACACGTTTGAGAAGCAAATATAATTGTAATTCAAATGGTTTGTATACCTTTCATACAGCTATAACAATAGGATTTTATTCTTAAGCACTACAACACAGCCTGCCTATCTGCTAACTTTACATTAACATTTATAATGTGGAAATCGGAACCCAGTCCCAGTAATTTAATTCTTATGGGAACAAACTTTATGGATTTGGAAAAACTGCCCAAACTAAAATAATGTCCTCAGGATAGTTTTTTATATGCCCATCGGCAAATACACCCACTTTTATCACATTTACATTTTTATGTTGTCTTGCTGTCTTCATCAAGAATATTTAAATTCAAAAACACAGCTTATAATAATTGTATTTTTAGCTTAAGAGTTTATTCCCTATTTTGTTGCAGTTCAACAGGTATGAATTGAATCCGGAGTTCCCTTCCCACTCATGGGACACTTCTGCCAGAAATGGGAGGAAGCTTTCTACAATTCTCACTTCCCTGTGCAATACTTGTTCCCACCCTGCAAAAAAGGTTTGAGGGATAGGAAACCCTATGGAACAGTGGGGGAAGGGGCTTTGCAAAAGTTGCTTCCCCTTCCACCAGGATAGGCCTCTGCTGTATTGTGAACAGAAGCAGCCCCTACTCTCTCAGAATAGAATTTAAGACACTATGTTGAATTTCTGCAAGAGATATAAAGCAATCATTCATGTCAGGTGTCTCTGCCAATATTCCATTTCCACAATTCTAAATTTCTCTCCATGCCTCTTTCTCACATCTACTTTTACCAAGAGACAAACTTGTTAAAATATTGAGGGCCAGGATAATGAAAACTCTTAGATAAATAATTTATATTCCACTTAATAACAAAGTTTCTAAGTGATGTATACAACACAAAAGGGATAGAACAAAACAGCAACAAAACTATTATTATTTAGCAGTAGTATTAATATTACCCACCTGTCCTAGGGTGGGTTACAATTAAAAATACAACATTAAAATAACTTAAATGACAGTCAAGAGAATAGGGTGGATGGTGTCAAAGGCCCAAGTAATTCAGTGTGTCTTCTAGACAAAGCATACTAAATATTCAAATACAGTGGACCCTCTGGATACAAATTAAATTCGTTCCGGGGGTCCGTACTTAACCTGAAAAGTCCTTAACTGGAGGCGCCGCTTCTGCGCACACGCACGGTCTGGTCCGCAAAGCACTTCTGTACATGTGCACGTGGCAAAACCCAGAAGTATACACTTCCGGGTTTGCCTCGTTCGCAACCTGAAAGTTACGTATCCAGAGCGGTACGTAACTCGAGGGTCCACTGTACAGATTTACCACCTGATAGGCAGCATCCCAAAAACCCTTATGCAGCGAGACACTGAACTTCAAACCACATACCCACACTTCAACCCCCTCCATGCTGCAAAAGTTCCATCAGCAGTTTGGTGCGGAGTCTGTTCAAAGGGGGGGGGGATCCCACTAAGACATGTAAGTCATTGGGTACATCTAAGGTAGTCCTTTTAATCCTGCTGATTATATCTAGATCTTTGATATAGAAATACTACTAGCAGCATTAATAGCCTTTTAAAATGTTGATCTCTGAAACAAAATGACAGAACATTAAATATTTTACCCTGCGCATAGACTGATAGCGGGGTGCATGCAGCTGAACCACATCCTTTTGTAGAAGCTCTATGGAACTTTCCAAGGAATAGCTGGAATCCTGCACGCCTTTCAGGATATTTTCTTCATAATTATTGGTCATGACTGGTATCACTTCAGACACTTCAAAGAGCGCTGACTTTTTCCTCTAATGAGGGAAAACAAAGAACATGTTGCATTTCATTCATTTTGAAGCAGTCTGTCATTACAATGCTTTTAAAACTTAAGAAAAATAAACTTACTGCAAACCTAAGAACTGGGTAACACCCTAAACTTATTGCAAACCTAAATTTAGAGATAAATGGATGCTGAAGCACATGCTTAAGCAAAAATGCATTTCACATTAAAATCCAAAGTGCTGAGTCTCTAAAATTCAGTTTTACGTATTCCCCAGATTTGTGTGCAACCATAGCCCATAATGCAGTATTAACTCTCATATGGCACATTTTGAAAGCTGTGCAAGGTTTTGTTAAGATACCCAGCGCATAAGGAATGAACATCATGACTCAAAATTAAACATCAAAGATTCAGCGTAGCCATGAGGAAAACACAGTGTAACAGATTTTTACAATGCTCTCCACATTCATTCTCAGATTGCAATTTTGAGAGTGCTAACAGAGGTACGGAGTCACTCAATACAAAAGTTGAACAACCAAAAAGGAAATTACCTTGTCTTTGAATACAAAGGCAATATACATCTTGAAATCAAACTGGTCAGCTAGAGATTCTTTTTTCTTTTTAAGCTGAGCACGAAGTCTGTTCAGAGCTTGTTTCTTCCGGGAGTTTGGGTCCCCCATTTTGTAATACAGATGGTACTAAAGCCTTTTGAAACCTTCACTAAACTATGGGCCCTTTTTCATAAGACTCGAGTACAACAGAAACAAGTCATTTTATTCCTGCTAATACCACTGAATCAATAGAACACAGGCGTAACCCAAAAATGCACCTTAGGCAAATGTTTTACAAGACTGTCTTATTAGAGGGGTCATAAAACAAAGTAACTATTAGTCCAACCATCATTGGACAAAAAGTTTGCACAGTATTGTCAAAAGCCCAAAGAAATTTGAAGAAAATACACTGATATACACAGTTTAAACCACAGGAATAAGTGGGCAAGAATGGGGGGGAAATCTTATCACAATTTGTGTGTAGAATAAAAAGCAATAATGGGCATGGACCCAATCCATTTGGGCGGGTTTCTTGCCCCACGCTGCCACCCCCCAAAAAAACAAAAAACTGAAATTAAAGACAGTGTTCTATCCCGCCCAGATTCATGACTGCTGATTATTTTCAAGATCTCTGCTATTGCTATGCTGCCTGGCTTTTTCTTTTTTCAAGAATTATTCGACTTGGTAGAAAGCAAAGGAGGGAGTGCAGAACAGGAGTGGATGTCCTGGGAGGTAAGACGTTTCCCTACCAACAACAAAATAATCAACCACAGACAACAGTGTGCTGGTTTGCAGAGGAGCAAGGAGTTTGGAAAACAGCAGAGTCATTTCTAGCTTCATCCTGCTCATCATCAGGCACATGGTTGCCCTGAGGCTGCGGCTGTGGGAGAGAAGAGGGATCATGGTGGCCATTGATAAAAAGGTGGAGGGAAGATTTGGGAGATTATCTGGCCTTTTGAATCCCAAGTCGATCTCTCGATCTAGCACTCCCCTAGGAGGGAGAGGCCTACAACACACCCCACTAGCCTTCCTTCCCTCAGTCTAAGCCCCGGGCAGGACAAAAAAATCCTCCTCCCCTCTGCCGCTTTAATTGGGGCTGGGCATGGCTGGTGCGATTGGCCTCCTTGCGGGGGTTGTTCTCTTCCTTGCTCAAGAGGAAGAGGCGGGCCTGTGCTCAGCGCAGCGGGGGCCACTCAAGTCTACGGCCCGGAATTCACTCTTGCATTCATGGTCAACAACCAACAACTCGGGTTCTTGGGAGGGGGGAAGAAAAAAGGGGGGCGGGGGGAAAAGGGAGAGGAAGGGAATTATCACGCCAAAAAAATTTCAATTGGAAAAAAAATTAGTTTGCAAAGAGGCTTTTGTCGCAGCGAACTTGAATAAATTTGGAAAGGAAAAAAACGCGTTTTTCCGGAAACAAACAAAAAAAAAAGGAAAAAAGGATTATGAACCCGTCCTTCCCCCTTTTTTATTAGCTGTTTAGTTGTTGTGCTTTTTAAAAACAAAAAAAGCACACACAAGCACACCCTCTTCGTAAAAAATAGTAATTAAGCGGTTTCCCTCCCCCTCTCCTTGGAAGCCCCCGCGGCGGGAGGCTCAGGCGGCAAGAGACACCCAACCGGACCGGAGACTGTGGCGTGGCCTGGCTCGCTACCCGCAGCCGGCGGGCGCGGGTGGAGCAGTGGAGGCGGCGGCGGCGGCGCTGCTAGCAGCACGGGCAGGAGCCATGTCAAGAGAAGGCCACCAAGAAGCCGCCCAGCTCCGCCATCCCCGCTGCGCTGTTCACGGTGACCGGGCCGCCCGCTCTGCCGCTGCTCAGTCCCAGCAGCCTGGTCCCCATAGCCTAAGCTCGGCGCCCCGGAGCCGCCGGGGGGTGGCAAATGGTGGCGGCGGAGGCGGCGGGAGGGAGGAAGGAAGGACGAGAGGAGGAGGAGGAGGAGGAAGAGGCGGCGGCGGAGCGAGGCCGGGCCGGGAAAAGTCCCTGCGCTACAGGCTCCTACGGCGGGAAAGAGGCAAAAGAGCGAGAGAAGCCCCCGCTCCTGTCCCCTCTGAGGCGAAGGATGGCGCAGGCGAGTCTCTCGGTCCGGGCGGCACGGAAGGCGGCGAAGCAGCAGCGGCAGCAGCCCGAGCGGAGAAGCCCTCAAAATGGCAACCGCCGCGTCTCCTCCTCGCCTGACTCACACACACGGGAAGGCTCCGCCCCGCGACCCGCTGCGCAGGCGCCCTGCGGTGGACTGTACCATCTCCGTCTCGGGAGAGGGGTGGGGAGGGGTAAAGCGAACGGGGCAAGTGGGGTAGGGTGGGCAGCTGGTACAGTACTCAATGCAACCTGCGTGTTGAGTGTTACCCGCTGTCTCCAGTGGGGGCGAAGTGTGTCTATGCCCCGGTCCTTTGCAGAGTTCCGACGTGTCCCAGGCACTTGACATAAGTTAAAGTCGCAGTGGGCACAATGGGGCTTGTCCCCGAGTAAACAAGCGTGCGCAGGACTGCGTGGTGTAAAAATCAAGGGGCTTGGGTTCGCCTGGCTCGGCAGAGGCTGATGGCCGCGTGGGGGCTGTTAGCCTGTGTCAGTGTCACCCGCAAGCGGGTACTCGAAAATGGTAGTCCGATTCATTTTACTGGAGTAACAAAGAGCGCACACTAGTAATGGGCTCTTAGGAGCAAACTCACCGCACACGCAAGATCAAAATTAAAAGGCGTTTGGGGTAACTTTTACGTTCTTCCGATTGCTGACTACTTCTTTATTTTAATATGGAGTCGGAGGTATTCGTGTACCCTCCCTCACAGTTTTTCTTTTGGAAGCTTTGAAATCATCTGTCTGTTGCAGCATGTCTGCCGCACAGCTTGCGCACCAGGAGTGCGTTTCTTCCCATTGTATGCCTCTTAAATTGTGATGATGAAATGCAGAGCAAGATCCCGCTCTTCAGCCCTGTCAGACTCCGGTCCTACACCCATTAGCATGGTGGCTGGGCTTCCGAATTAACAAAAAGCCCCATCGGAGATTACAAAACGGGCCCTAACGGAAGGCTACGTTCCAAAGAAGTCCCACTGAATTCGCTGGGTCTTACTCTTACGTAAGTGGATTTGGGACTGCATCTTAAACGATGCTATGCAACTCAACTGAAAAGGTTTTCGTTGCCCCCAACCTGTACTGTAGCACGAATGCTACCCCTTGTTTTTCGCCTCCCTTTTCCTGACAACAATAACAAAGAGTCCTGCGGCACTTTAAAGCCTGAACAATTTATTTCTGCCGTTATGATGGGACCGCAGCCCGTTCCCTTGTTCTTCCTCTAGATGCTGCACGGCGACACACCGCTGCACCTGTTGGATGCCTGCAGCGCAGCTGTTTAGATACACAAAGGGTGTCTGATCAGTGGACGGCAGCGCGCTTTCTCCCTCGACGGTCATTATGCAGGCGGCGGCATGTCAAGTTGAGCCACTTCTTCAGCAAATGAAAAGCAGCTGCTAATAGTCTAGAGGCCACCAAAAGCTAGAGTACTTGACCCCCCGCCCACCTGCGCCCCATCCCCTCCCTCTCTCCATCCAAGAGAACGGCTACGTTTTCCATGACGCACAACGCGCATCTAGTCTCCAGGGGCTGCTCCGCCGTCACCAGCTCCGCGGTCTAGGTCTGTCCCCACATAAAGAACCCACCATTGCAGAACCTGTTTTAAAGCGCGCTCGCGCTCCGCTATTGATTCGAGTGAGGTGGGGCGCGCATCCGCACCTTTTTAAAAAACTTAATGCGAGAACTAGTTTCTGCCCAGAGACAGGCTCCAAGTTCCTTCGCCCCGCCTTCTCCCTCTAGTGAAGTGAACGGCTCCCCCCGCCCGTCTCAGACGTCACCGCGCCACCTCCCGGGGGCGAAGCACGCGGGTAAAGCGTGTCATGTGTGTATGATGATCACAACAACAGAGGACACGGGGCTTGCGCTTGGTTGTGTAACAGCGCTAGGGGGCTTCCAGACGGGGGCCGCTGTGTCGCCAGCGGGGTGTTTTTAACTCATCCGATTTTCCACGGAAAGGGTAAATCCCGGTTGGAAGCACCTGGCGTTTTAATGCTGACGACAGTGTGTGGACGCAGCAAAATAAGTACTTGCACGCGTGGCGGCACCGATCCCGCATCGAAAGCCCACGCAGAGGCACCTTCCGGGACATGGGCGTAGGCGGGGGGGGAGCAACTCCCATCCCCAAATCAAAATAAATAATAATAATTAACTAACTGACCAGTCGCCTGACATATAGCTCAGTTCTGCCCCCCGCCGCCGCAATAAATCCTGGCTACGCCCGTGATCCAGGAAACCTGTTTATTGAGCACTTTTCCACTACTAACACGTTTGCACAAAGTTTGATGGGAGGTTGCATATGAAATTCACTTTTGTTGTTAATATTCTCTCATAATTTTGCACGCATTTCCCCATCACTTTCTGATTTTCCTCCCAAAGTGGGTTTGTTGCACAATTTTAATTTGCCAATATGCAACTGAACCCGGTAGCAACAGTTTTGAAGTGGCCTTAGGCAGTGTAGCATAGGAAACTGCTTTCTACTGAGTTGGGCCATTGGGCCATATTGTTCAGTATTGTCTGCGCTGACTGGGAGCTTCTTTCCAGGGTTTCAGGCAGGAGTCTCTCCCAGCCTTACCTGAAGATGCCAGGGGTTGAATTTCGGTTCTTCTGCCACTAGCGACAGCACTTTCCCCAACACATCCCCTTTGATCCCAAATAATTATGTGATTCAAAGGGACGCGGGTGGCGCTGTGGGTAAAACCTCAGTGCCTAGGACCTGCTGATCATAAGGTTGGCAGTTCGAATCCCCGCGGCGGAGTGAGCTCCCGTCGTTCGGTCCCAGCTCTTGCCCACCTAGCAGTTCAAAAGCACCCCTAAGTGCAAGTAGATAAATAGGTACCGCTTTATAGCGGGAAGGTAAACGGCGTTTCCGTGTGCGGCGCTGGTGCTGGCTCGCCAGCTGCTGCTTCATCACGCTGGCCACGTGACCCGGAAGTGTCTTCGGACGGCGCCGGCTCCCGGCCTCTTGAGCGAGATGAGCGCGCAACCCTAGAGTCGGACACGACTGGCCCGTACGGGCAGGGGTACCTTTACCTTTTACTTTTTAATTATGTGATTCAGGCATCCCCAAACTTGGCCCTCCAGATGTTTTGGGACTACAACTCCCATCATTCCTAGCTAACAGGACCAGTGGTCAGGGATGATGGGAATTGTAGTCCCAAAACAGGGCCGAGTTTGGGGATGGCTGCTTTAGCATCTTCATCCTTGACATCCATGAAGGCTTATGCCATAAAATCTGTTAACAATCTACAGTATTCTAAATGTTCTTTAAACAGTGTGAATAATAAAACTACTGTATTTTTCGCCCTATAAGACGCACCAGGAGGAAAACAAGGGGGGGGGATTCTGAATCTCAGAAGCCAGAACAGCAAGAGGGATCACTGCACACACATTTCCCCTTACTTTTTAGAAGGGAAAAAGTGAGTCTTATAGAGCAAAAAAGACGGTAAATAAAGCCCATCTATAATAGACAATACGTTGAAACAAAACTCCAACATAATTATCATTGCAACATAAATGAAATCAGAAAAACATTTAAAACAAATATAGGGAACTAATATTATCTAATGCATACTCAGCCCAGGAGGGGATAAAAGCAGCTAGAAAATGTAAAATGACAGGAATACAACATACATACAACCTCAGTGTCTCTGGACATACTGCCACAACCCACCAACCAGGGGCTATGCTGGTGACAATGCCCACATGACACAAAGACACAGAGGGAGCCAATGAATTCATGATAAGGAGCTCTTCCAGAGTATTTGGGCAGTTGCACCATAATATCCCTCATGACAGAGGTATGTGGCATTCTGCCAGCATAGTGGGGCTTTAACCAATTCCTGTACAGTGGTACCTCGGGTTAAGAACTTAACTCGTTCTGGAGGTCCGTTCTTAACCTGAAACTGTTCTTAACCTGAGGTACCACTTTAGCTAATGGGGTCTCCCACTGCTGCCGCGCCACCACTGTGCAATTTCTGTTCTCACCCTGAAGCAAAGTTCTTAACCCGAGGTACTATTTCTGGGTTAGCGGAGTCTGTACCTTGAAGCATCTGTAACCTGAAGCGTCTGTAACCCGAGGTACCACTGTAGCGCCTTAGCCGATGGTTCTGCAGTCTAGGGTTGTGCCTTTAATGTTCATGTTATACTGTATTGCCATCTAGTGGAAATTTAAAGGTTGCCAGTAGCTTGTGTGTCTGTTAAATACTGTACAACCTATTCAAGTTTGGGGACAAACTAAACATTTCCCCTTTACATTGCCTCTTGATTTGAGAGCCATGAACCAGAGTGCATAAACAGAGACGGAACATTTGTATTTCTGTTTTAAGCCTATAAACTGCCGCATCCCAAAAGTTCAGGCTAGACATCGACTAATAAAAACAAACAATTGGAATATATTGGAAATCAAATTCCTCATAATGGACCGTGTGTTTTCTAGTAAGTCAAAACTTGTTGGTGTCTTTTCTTAATCAT